ATTGTCAGTGGCAAGTTCGTTTTAGAGTTCTGCATGAGTAAGGAAATTGGGAAACTGCGTAGAAATTGACGAAATTGAAGGTTGTGAGACATTTGATACGGGGGTAAAGTAACCACTTTCCGCTAAATTTTTTTGCGCAACGTTTTTTTTTTGCATAACTGGGCCATTTGCGCAACTTTTCATCACATTTTGAATGAAGGTCTTTCCCACAACTTTTTTAAAGACTTTTTGCAACTTTTACAGCTTTTCTTAAGTTTTTCACTTTTTCGCTATTAATTTTAAAATTTAGAAGTTCCGCCCACAAGTGTTCGCATTGTCGGAGGCCAACACTTAGATATTAATCAGGGCTATCGAATGAAACCAACTGTAGCCAACTCGGTCAAGCGAGCGGCGAGAAAAACACAAGAACGTAGTTTACCTCTGGAAATGTGGACACTTGTGGGCGGTACTTCAAAAGTCATTTAGTGCGGCATACTTGTTGATCATTGAACCGACTTTATCCAATCAGTATAGCGCCAACAAGGTCACGGTCAGTTTTAGGTTGCTTTATATAACTTTTTGAAGCTTCAGAGTGTTATCAGCAACTCTTCGGTCAAACAGAAACGGCTCTATTACGATCAAACAGGATTTGAGTTTCGTTTTTATAGCACTGACACCAACGGAGAAACTTTTTACAGGTATCATTTTTAAATCTTTCGTTTTGAATAAGCTTTTTGAGGTGTATTGAGAAAACATGTAAAGTCAAGGCCAATCGCGTTTTTCGCTCAAAACTGATAAACCCTTATGGAGATCATGATTATTTGCCTCCAGATTACGGAAAAGAGGTAGTTTAAAGCCTGTTTTATAAGTTGTTTTTTTTTAGTTGCGAATTATCAAGAAAATGGTAAAGAGTGATCGCTTAAATGAAGTCCCGAAGCGAGAAGTGATTAACAAGAGGGTGCAAGCAGCGGAACAACATCTGAAGTTTTACTTGAACGAGCCAGCTATCACCCAGTTAGCTAAAAGAGTTGGCAAGAAAGGAGGCAAGACAGCTTGGCCATGCGACAAACACTTTTCGGTAAGAAAACGGTTTCTATCTAGATTCTTTCTATCTAGAACCTTTTTTCTTGCCCCGAAGACCTTTGTCAGCTCTTTATTGTCGGGGCACAGGTATTAATTTTTTTTATCTTGTTCGAAAAACATTTTTTAGATTGACCAAAATTTTGTTCCGTGTGTGTTTGCCTTTTTGAGCTCAAAAGATCTGTCAACTTACAAAGTCGTTTTTGATTACCTCTTTGGCCGAGGAGATCCATCAATTAAACTAATGACAGGATTTTGTGGTACCTTAAATGTTAATTTATAATTTAGACTTTGAGCTTGGTGCGACTGCTTGCAAAATGACCTATGGAGTCACTGAGCACCATTTTTGTTGCTTTCACTTCTTCCAAAATGTCCTGCGGCGAATAGAGGTTTTTAGTTTTGTAAATAAAAAAATTGATTGGATTAGAGATTCCGACTCCACAGCCTCGTTCAGACACCGTTCGGGAAAACGCACATCCAATCAATAATGTCTCTCGCATTTATTTTATCCAACTGAAGTTGTTCTCCACTTTGAAGAAGGAAAAAATCAGCTTTGCAAACGGTCGCTCCCCATTTGCAACGTAAAATTAACAGTAGGTCGTTGTTATTTATGAATACATTCTTGTTTTAGAATTTTACGCATCGTTTGAGAAGTCTTACTTGGGTCGCGTCGGCACAGCAGGAGTTCGTGGTCCGGCTATGTATGATATCTGCAAATGGAATCCCATGAATGGATTATTTTGGGCCAGCATATCGGCAACTCGGCTCAGGAAGGATTCCATTCATTTTTGAAGGTTAGTTGATTTCCTTGCAATGAATAGTGCTGTTTTTTAGAAGGATCCGAAAAACCCACATCCAAATCACACTACAGTGAGGCTCTATGAGGAAATGGCAGTGTTTATCAATCGTTTCAACCTTCCAATGGCCAACAATCTTACTCTTGGACAGCATTACTCGCAGAGAACCAGGGTAACCCGTCAAAAGAAGCGTTTTACTGCTGTTAGTAGTGGACGCTTACCTTGTTGTGATCACGTTCAGCACTTGTCCCAGATTCTTGTTTGCATTAGAAAAGGTTAATTGTTGTTATCTTTTTCCGTTTTGTTGTTAATTTGGAAAAAAGTGCTATGGAAGTTTTTAAGATGGTGGTGAAAGCTTTGAAAAGTGCTTAAAAACATTGCCAAAAACTTTTGTTAAAATGTGTTGAAAAGTTGTGCAAATGACCCCTTTGCGCAAAAGAAAGTTGCGTAAATGACCCAGTTACGCAAAAGATTTGGCAGAAAGTAACCACATCCATTTGACACGCGTTTCGCCCCCTTTGAGCTCAAATTTTGGTGCTAGACTGTCCAATTTAAATAGTTTTTGTACCAATCGACTTAGAAAGACTTGGCGCATCTAATTATACCAAAAATATTTAAACTGGACAACCAAACAGCAAGCAAGATATTTGAGCTCAAAGTTAGATTGCCAATGGCCAAAGGGGCGGGATCAAATGTCCGATAACCAAAATGAAAAGCTATTCGGTTTGGAAATGGGGCACAAAATAGAAAAAGACTACAGTAGATTTCTGAATCGTTAATAAACTTCGAAGAGTTTCGAATTTTAAACTGTCCTCCCAGTGTTGACGTTTCGATCTTGTTTTCAAATTTCTCTAATTCTTCACCAAAAATATGGTGAATCATGAAACGAATCATGTCTACGCTCTAATAAATAACTTTTCCCCAATGAATCACTGAATTATTTTTAAGACCAAAAATAACTGAATAGATCGGTAAATAACGAATTAAAAGCTCTTTTTAGGTGTCCTAAAAGAAATCCAAGACTACTATGATGTAAACGATTCGCAAGGCAGTTTAGTGCAAACTCTCTATTTCGCGTTTTTCTTCGTTTTCACCCCACTTTTCCGCACAGGTCGGTGAATTGGAAAAAAAATTGATAAGTGGTTTGAAATTCAAATTCAGAGCATCGAGAAAATGACTTTTTTCTGTTTGCATTTCTCGTTGGATTCGTCTTGTCGTGGCTTCATCGTTGATACCGAAAAATGTAGATTTTCACTTATGATTTACATATTCGATATTTAGTTATGGACTCTATTCCTTGTTTCTCGGGGTCTCTCGGGAATCGAACAATCTTCATGCACCGTTTTGGCGCCCACCATAATCGATATCAATTGATATCTTTGTGCACGAACGCTTACAATGTCTGGACAATGCACTAGAAAGTAAAGGTTTCGGTTATAATGTCCGCCTATTTTAGCTGACCTCTACTCGGGTACAAAGCGATCGATGGCGTTAATGATGTTTTTCTCCATGATTCCCATTGGAAGGTAAATATTTGATCCGAAACTCGAAAAGACCGTGAAAAAACAAATGGCTGGGATCAAGAGTGAAAAGTCTGATGAGAGTCTATGAAGCCAAATTTTCAGTGGACTTGGTTTTTTGAGCGGAAGGCACATTGGATCGGCGCTTGGACATTGGCAATTTTTTAATTTTTCTTCGCGAACCGCGTCGACAACAAGAAAAAGAAACGACGAGAAGAGGGCAAACATTCTGACAAGATTGCCTCAAAACTGTCGTTCTGTCAGTGGACCATACTAATTTTTTGGGGTTTTTAAACCAAAGCTGTACAGTGCTGATCGAAAAATACATAGTACTAGTATCAGGTCTGGCCAAATCCCGAATTTGCTTTCCATTATTCATTTTAGAGATTCTTCACGCAGTTATCAAAATTTCACACAAATTCTCCAATTCCTTTCCCCCTCTTTTTCCTTTTTCGTTCTCTTAGAAAGCTGTTACAAAGTCGCATATTTGACATCCTTTCTCTATTTTCGCTCATTCTTTATTCGTTTCATTCCATTGGATTCTTAAATTTCATTGCATATTCCTTCAGATCGATTATCTGTCATTATCCATTTGCTTTTCATTATTCACTTTAAGATAGAGATTCTTAACCCATTTTTGGTACTATTGGCTTAGGGGAGGGGGGGGGCACTTTTTTCCGCCAAAACCACTTTTCCCGGGCTAATGGAGTACGCTGAGCTATGGAGTAGTATCACATTTTTAGGGTAGATTTTTAATCAAAAACGCAATTTTTGGAATTTTTAAAAATTTTGCAAAAATAAGGGATCTTGGCTCCTATACTTACCTATGCTTTGGCTCCGCACCTTAGAGACACGTGGCTCGCCTGATTCTCCTACGCCTGATTCCAGCTAGAAGCCACGTGCTTCTAGTACGAAACTTACCCCAGCCGAACCAGAGTCAGGCGATAGCCTAGGAGCCACGTGCCTCTATGATGCTGCCAAAGCCTAGGTAAGTAGCCTAGGTATAGGACCCAAAATCAAAATTCCCTAATACTCCATAGCTCAGCGTACTCCATTACCCCATGAAAAGTGGTTTTGGCAAAAAAGGTGCCCCCCCGCCCAAAGCCAATAGTACCGCCGTTTGAATAGGAACATTTTGATGTGTGGAACATTCTTGGTTTTTTTGGTTCTAGTAACAAAATTTTTCTTATTTTACAGAGAGCTTGGAAGTTTATGATAAGCTGTTTGAGCAAGACACGACTCTCTTCACGAACACCGTCGAAACGGTTTTCAATTTGTTTCCCAATCCTGCTCATAAGCCAAAGTAAATCAGCTGCTGTTATTTTTTGGTTTAATGTCCAATTTTAGAGCGAAATCAGAGCTGAAACGAAACGTCCGTTGTACTACCATGATGACTTGTGAGTTTTAGTTGTGTTATTTGTTGGTTTTAAGCTACTTCGTTTGATGAGGTCAACCGTGAACCACACAAGGAACGTGCCGTTTTACAAGAGCAAGTCAAGGCTATTTGACGAGAAGTGCTTTCAAAGGGATAACTTTTCTGCACGTTTTTTAGTTGTGTAATACCCGAAATCATAAACAAAGCAAAAGCAGAAAAAAACAGAAACAACAATTAATCACTTAACTATATTACATTACTTTCTCCACTCGAAATCTCAGTTGTTTTAAAGGTCTTATTTTCATAAGTGGCCTCTTCCAATTCGTAATTATTATTTGCATTTTCTTTTGTTCCGACATCTTTTTCCGATGAAATTCCATCGTGAATACCTAAAATGATTAACAAATAGCAGTAAAATGAAAAAATCATACCAATTTCAACGCGGAACCTTGCTTGATCTCTTAATACTGTAGTCGCAGCAATTATAAAGAACAATGCCTAAATTGAAACAGTTTTGATTGTCATTCATATAACAACTCACCGAAATTCCACAAAGTGCCGAAGGAATATAAAAAGCGTATAACAAAGCATCAAATGAATCTCCTGGAGAATTGCTCAATCTTATTCGATCAGAAAGCTAAACAAACACAAGAAATTTTAGCAGATACTGCATGCATTACCAATCCAACAAGATATGGTCCAGGGAAGAAATGTGAAATCAGATATTCCCATGCATTTGCTGAATTACGTCTAAAGTATTAAGTGTAATCTAAAAAGAATATGAACGAACCTCCATGGAACAATAATCGTCATTCGTAGATCGGCATTGATGGCCCAACTGAAGCAAAGTCCGGTAATAGCAACGAACATGAAGATCTAAATTAGAATAAAGAATTTTAATTTATGCTGAAATCCCAATTTCAAAGAACTAAATTTTAATTTAACTCGTCATATAAAAGGAAAACAGCTATGAATGTCATCATTTCATAATTTCTGCTCGGCTTTGCGGTTCAAAGGTTCGATTTGATTTGTTTTGGGGAATTTTGGAATGTTTAGTTGCCGACAAACCCGTTCACAAATGCAGCGCCGATCTACAATGGCAAAGGTGAGAAATTTGAAAGAAAGAAGAAGATCAAAAGAAAAAAAGACTGAAACGAAAGAATGTAAAAAGGTTGACTTAAATATAAAAGTGGCTAGTTTGATTGGACATTTTAGGGAAAAATAGCCTTCAAACAGCGAGTCGAAGGAAGCAAAGGAGGACAAGGACAAAGAACCGAAGAACGAGACGAACTGAATGGGGGTTATGGCTGCTTCATTGTGAAATAAGTATTTCGTTGATCGAATTATTAACGGAAAATAAACATACGTAGCTAGCTTCGACAGACACTTTGATGAGTTGTAATCCACCAAAAAGAAATGGAGTTGCGATCAGTGCTCCAAGGGCACAAATGATTGGATCGGATCGTTTCGTTTGACAGCATTTGAAGCACAACTTTCCACTACGCAGCAACTAGAAATTATTTGAGATATGAACATTAAAAGCAAGATGTCATACCGTTGACAAAGCTGAACCCATAATTACTCCAACGATTCCACCAGCAATTGTGACGATTCCAAAGTAGATAGCAATACTAAAGTTATTGATTATTTGATCGAAATTGTTGTATACTAACTTTGCTTTATCATTTTCATCCAGAAGACTTGTAGAATTGAGCTTCATTTCGTGAGCTTTGGCATGTTGAATTGCTGTAGGAACCCACCTGAAAATAAAAAGAAATACGGTTGAATCATTCAAAATGTTACCATGCAAGTGTGCCCATCACAAAATCGATGCATGTATCGGCAATTGTCGAGAAAGTGTAGGTGCAACTAAAATTTAGGACTTTCGGTTCTTTACGGATAGCAAGGGGGTCAACGATTATCGGCGGGGGGGGCACATCCGCGCAAAAATGAGTTTTCTATAGGATTTTTACGTTTGAATAGCCATTTGACGCAGAAAAATGTGCTAAATTCAATGGCGAAAAAATTATCAAAAGCCGTCTTGTAGATTTTTTTAAATCGCATTTTATCAAAAAAAATCGGTCATTTTACACAGAAACGGCCAAACTCACCTGCATTTGGGCCTCCACTACTCGATGATAACAAAAAATTGACGACTTTTTGTCTCTTTGAATCTTTGTCTCTTTTTGTCTCTTTGAATCTTTGTCAAAACGTAAAAATCGTTGTGAGCATGTTCTTGCCGCATGTAGATAAATTTCGAGATCACCCGCTCGTTTAATCCTCTTGCATAGCTGATTGAAGACAGAGTGAAGACATTCGAGACCTTCTTCTGACATAGACCCTAGCGCTTTATGTGAACGTGTGCAATTGCTACGTGGGCTTTGACAGTTTTTAGTCCAATACTGTTTAGTTCCATAGCTTCAAGTAAGTTGTCTGTAGCCGAAAGTATTACTTGGATTTCCTTCTCCGATAGAACGCTCTTTGTAGATCCGATCGTTCGCGAGAACTCGTTAAAAAGCTCCAGACAATCACATAACTTTTTGTAGGCAAGTGAACTGACAATCGGTCGAAATGAGTTTATATTTGCACATAATTTCTTCAACTTTGGTCCGTTCAAATCATCGGATTTGTAAGATTTACTCTTTTCTCTGTTAAGACCCAGTTTTTCAATCAATTGTAAAAATGCTTCTCCTTCTTTTGAATGGCTTGCACGAGCCTCTGTTTCCATAGCTTTAAAAATGCAATTACCAAAACCAAATTTAAGGTGTAGCACAGGAGGAATACAGCACGATGGATCTATTGGCCAAATGTATCGACGAAAGACGCCCAACTTCTCTTCAGGTTTGGCAAATTTTCCTTGCAGAATGTCATCAAAGCGTTTGATTGTTCGAACCGAATATGGATGTCTATCGAAATGCGTGATAACTTTTGTTGGATTTAGGGATTTGTCCACTTTGTATATACACCAAATGCATGGGTAAGTTGATGCATTGGACAAACCAAATGACGATGCAAGAAAGTTGAGGTCACCTCCCAAAAATATCTGTCTGTTGAGTGGTGCGAGCTTGTCGACAATATTACTGTATTTTAGCAGATTTCGATGGTCGTCTCCTCCTTTCCAAACAGCAAGAATCAAGTGCTTATAGCACGATTGCGGATTGTGTTTCTTGTCTCGAAGCATAAGTGTTAGCTTTGTACTATTCAGTCCCTTATCGCCCATTATAACTTCCGCTTCAGAATCGTTCAGCTGACTCAATCGGTGTTTTACTGCTGCAAATAGATCTTTCAATACAATAGCATTCCCTGATATCTCATAATCGACGTGTTGTGCTGAAGCTTTCCGGATCCTGTCCATTTGATACTCGCTGGCAAAAAGAGATGTCGCACGGCTATACATTCTGTGTGCATCACGAGTAATTTTAGATTTCGACATCAAAGCCAATGTTTCAAGAGGGGAAAGAAGAGATCCACAACCAATTGAAGGCTTACGTTGTTTTTTCAGGTAGCGACGATAAATGTTTCGGGCCAAACGAAGCTTCTGCAACAGTTCAACGCGTTTGCGTTTTTTGATTCTACTAATCTCCTTTTTGCTTGTTCTAATCCTTTCCATCTTAAGTTGGCTTGAAACCTTCATCCACTGCTTCTCTCTCTTGGTTTCGATCGTTTGCTTTTCTATTTTGCTGCGTTTCTTTGGTCGACTCATTTTTGGGTATCTAAAAAAAGAAACAATTATTATGACATGAAAATGATAAAGAAAGCTCGTAAAAAGAGGAAAAATAAACTGAAAAAAAAATTCTTTGCAAGCGCTCTTTAAGTAGTTTTTTTTCGCCATGGGAAGGGTTACGGTATTATCCACGTTTTAGGGCGGAGAAAGTCGTCAAACGTCATTTTTGTCTTCAAAATGTTATAACTTTTTTGTGAGTTGACCAATTAATACGATTTTGGTCTCAAAATGACCGCAGACAACATTTTGACAAAGTCTACTCCCTGGGCTTTCCTAATTTTTTGCGTTTTTTGAGTCGAGTAATCTCCTTTTTGCTTGCTCTAATCTTTTCCATCTTAAGTTGGCTCGAAACCTTCATCCGCTGCTTCACTCTTTTGTTTTCGATCGTTTCGTTTCCTATTTTGCTGCGTTTCTTTGGTCGACTCATTCTTGGGTATCTGAAAAAAGGAAACAATTATTATGACATGAAAATGATAAAGTAAGCTCGAAAAAAGAAGGAAAACAAAATGAAAAAATTCTTTGCAACCGCTCTTTAAGTAGTTTTGTTTTTCGCCACGGGAAGGGTTACGGTATTATCCACGTTTTAGCGCGCAGAAAGTCGTCAAACGTTATTTTTGTCTTCAAAATGTTATCACTTTTTTTTGAGTTGACCAATTAATACGATTTTGGTCTCAAAATGATTGCAGACAACATTTTGACAAAGTCTACTCCCTGGCATTTCCTAATTTTATGTGCCCCCCCCCCCGTTATCCGTAAAGCACCCGATTTTCTTTTGACAAAGCGTTTTTAAATCTTACTTTCTCATGAGGGCCCATAGATCACAAAGTACGTCTTGATTTTTACCTTCAAAGGTGCATTTCCTATATCCTCCTTGCCTGTAGAATTCTAAAATTAACAAGATCAATAGCAATATCTTTAATTCACCGATGATTCATTCAGTCCTCGTTCTGGTTCAAATACAAATAATACGATCAGAATGACAGAAGCCACGCCTAAGCTTTAAAAATGAAATTGGATTGGAACAATTATAGATATTGTATAAACGCACCAAATAACGGTGTTAATCTCATTCCCCATTGCCATCCTCCAAGTTGTCTCGCCAATTGTGATCCAACAATGTAACCAATTCCACTGAAGCGCACAATATTTTACTTGCATCACTCGAATGCATCAAACTTTCCAAGTGGGCTGACCATATAGAACAACATTAACATCCATGAACGCGCTTTTCCAATGTACATATCACCAATAATTGTAGGAGAAACGACCGCAGATGTGGCTTCACCGATTCCGCAAACACTGCGCATAAGGAGAAACAGCCAAAAGTTCTAAATAAACGTTGCTACCTATTGCAAGTTAATTTAATTTACCTCTTTAGCCACAAATGTTGATGCGAACACGGCCAGAACCCATACTAGTATTCCGACAACCATAATCCATTTTCGTGTGTATTTAAAAGAAACTTTCAGCTGAAGAACTATTCATTTTATACTTACCTATCTCCTAAATATCCAAAGATTGGACTGAACAATGTGGAACAGACGATAAAAACCGTTTGAAGTAATCCTCCCTTACCATTGTCGATTTCATAAAAACTTTGAATGTCGGTAAGAAGAACTGAAATTATACCAATTGTATTTTGTATCAGTCTAAAAAGAAAAAGCTTTCATCCGAGTTTTACATTTTTATGTTACATTTAGGTCAAATTTTAATAAAGAATCAAAATCGTTTAAGCTTTTTCTATGGATGTTTACGTATAAAAAAAGCACCTGCAACTGTAGATTGATCAGCATAGATGAGTAGATTGATGAAGAATAGAATCAACACAACAATCAGCTTCTGACATTTCGAATGATGAGGTGGATCATCCATCGATCTGAAGAAATATTCAACGAAATTAAAGGATCCAAATAAGGAATAAAGAACGAATAAAGGGTTTTTGTTACGTTTTAATGGAATCAAAAAGCACGCAACCACAGCAACAGTAAGCCCGAAAAGTAAGCCAAACTTTGCATGAAAACCCGTAAATTTACATTTAAAAGAGGAAATTCGCATTTAAAATACTCAAAATTCCTTATTTTTGCAAAATCTTAAAAAATTCTAAAAATTGCGTTCTAAAATGAATAATGAAAAGCAAAGGGCAAAGGGATAATGACAGACTTTAAACAGTAAAATGTCTAATTTCTACGAGGAACTCAAGCAATGCAGTGCTTATTATGAAATACAACAGTGAAGTAGAGTGTGCAAACAGCACTCAAATTTGCATTTTAGTGGGTGCCATGAATCTGCATTTAATTTTTGCTAGATGACGCAAGATTGGAATCAAACCCCACATTTCGTATTCTTTATTCTATTCGGCTATGGTTGATTTTCTCTTTCTGTTACGCTTGCTGCCAATACTCGGAACAATCATTGTCGGTTTTTGCTCACTTTCACCATACTCATATGTAAGTTGTTTCTTTTTGTTACCGGATTTATCAACGTTAACTGTGAATATTTTAGTTTGCATGAGAACTAACAAAACCTCTACAAAGCCGATTGGCGGACAATTCGTCTCAAAATCTCGATCTGCACATAGAGGGGTCAAATTTTATTTTGCTTGAGTTTCACGTAAAGGATGTTATTTGAACTAAGAACTTTGTATTTGTTAATTCCTTTGTAATTTTAGAGTAGTAATCCATCTCTTGCAAAGCTAGAAGCTCGATTGCTCAGTAAATCTGAAGACGGCGAATGATGGTGCCGTACTTTTTATCCATTTTGTGTCTACTTGATCAATTTTAGGGACAAAAACGGCGGCTCCGGTTACTGTGGAGGTTGTGACAGCCAAAATTCAACCAGATAACAAGTCGCTCGGACACAGCAAAGCCAAAACAGAGGAAAACACACACGCCCCATTCAGCAACAACCTTTGGGTTGTTGCTGATTTAGTAACTACTAGAAGCCTCTTTTTTGATACTCCTAACAAATTTAGTCCGTGAATTCTGTAAACCCGCCTCCACCTGAAGCCATTGACTGCAAAAGAGTCACAAAGTGGGCTTTTCTTCGTTCAACTTTTCTAAAAATGGTTTTAGTTTTTATTTGGAAAGTGGTCATAATCTCAAAGTCGATAGACCGTCATCCTACAAATGGCCGTGAGTTTTTTTTTCTTTTCAAAAAACAATTATTTTGGTTTAGTGCTTCGCTCGTGGAACATGAAGCAAATAGCAGCGTAAAGGTAGTCAATTTTGTTAGCTGAATTATTTTTTATCTAGGGCTATGGGGCAGGCTGGGAATCGAGCATTGGACAAGAACTAAAACTTTATGATTTCGTGCGGATCTCAAATAAATCTTTTGTCTAATTTTTCATATTATTTCACAGAGCAAAAGATCAAAGCGATCAAATAACTCAAATTCGATCGGCGAAAGTTCGAGGATGGAGCAAGTCGTAAAGGTCAGTCCATCACAAAGAAAGAAAAACGAGAGACCGAATCGCCGTAGATAAGCCAAACAGCAAATTTCCACTCACTTCACGCCGTTTTCGACTGAAAGAAAGGAATTGAATACCTATCAGTGACGGCACAAAACACTAATCGTGGGGTTTTTTTGTCCTGGATAAGCCGATGGGTTAGATATTTTGTGAAATTGATTGCGTCCATTCCGGAAGTGCTTCTGTATCCCGCTATTTGATTTTTCTTTGTGTTCATCATGAGTTGGAAATTATTCTATGTATTCATTCTGTGTTTGGTCGAGATGGCGCTCTATATGGACAGATTGGCGGTGGCAAGTTCGTTTTAGAGTTCGGCATGAGTAAGGAAATGGGGAATTGATGAAATTAAAACTATTTTGTTTGGAAATGGGGCACAAAATAGAAAAAGACTACAGTAGATTTCTGAATCGTTAATAAACTTCGAAGAGTTTCGAATTTTAAACTGTCCTCCCAGTGTTGACGTTTCGATTTTGTTTTCAAATTTCTTCAAGTCTTCACCAAAAATATGGTGAATCATGAAACGAATCATGTCTACGCTCTAATAAATAACTTTTCCCAAATACTTAGTGAATCACTGAATTATTTTTAAGACAAAAAATAACTGAATAGATCGGTAAATAACGAATTAAAAGCTCTTTTTAGGTGTCCTAAAAGATATCCAAGACTACTATGATGTAAACGATTCGCAAGGCGGTTTAGTGCAAACTGTCTATTTCGGGTTTTTCTTCATTTTCACCCCACTTTTCGGCTATTTGGGGGACAGGTCGGTGAATTGGAACAAAAATTGATAAATGATTTGAAATTCAAATCCAGAGCATCGAGAAAATGGCTTCTTTCTGTTTGCATTTCCCTTTGGATTGGTCTTGTCGTGGCTTCATCGTTGATACCGAAGAATGTAGATTTTCACTTACGATTTACAAATTCGATATTCAGTTATGGGCTCTATTCCTTGTTTCTCGGGGTCTCTCGGGAATCGGACAATCTTCATGCACCGTTTTGGCGCCCACCATAATCGGTATCAATTGATATCTTTGTGCACGAACGCTTACAATGTCTAGACAGTGCACTAGAAAGTAAAGGTTTCGGTTATAATGTCCGTATATTTTAGCTGATCTCTACTCGGGTACAAAGCGATCGATGGCGTTGATGATGTTTTTCTTCATGATTCCCATTGGAAGGTAAATATTTGTCGGCGAAACTCGAAAAGACCGTGAAAAAACAAATGGCTGGGATCAAGAGTGAAAAGTCTGATGAGAGTCTATGATGCCAAATTTTCAGTGGACTTGGTTTTTTGAGCGGAAGTCACATTGGATCGGCGCTTGGACATTGGCAATGGGGTATTCGATTCACGGCGATGTTGGGTGATTTTTGAAAAAAAAATTATGAAATGCAACACAAAATTGTATTTAAAGATTGGAAACGAGATTAAATAGTCAATTTCAGGTGTTTTCATCGCCCTTTTGGTGATTATTTTCCTTCGTGAACCGCGTCGACAACAAGAAAATGAAACGACGAGAAGAGGGCAAACATTCTGGCAAGATTGCCTCAAAATTGTTGTTGTGTAAGTGAACGGGCTATCGTACGCATTTTTCTATGGCTTTTAAATCAAAGCTGTACAGTGCTGATTGCTAACTTTACTCGAAGAAAAAACGAGACGGGATTTTTAAAAATTGAACCAGATTCAAAGTGTTGGAAGTTTCTTCAGAGTTGGCCAATCCGTATGTTTTTGGTCTCAAAATGTGCGCAAGATCCTTGTTCATAAAAATTGTCGGCCAGAATTTTGTGGTTTCCCATCAGCACCGAGAATTAACCCCTGAAAAAGAGGTCATTTTTAGTTTTTATTGTAAAAATTGTGTTTTATCGATTTTTCGCAATTTTAAAAAAATCTGTGAGACGGATTTGAAAAATTCTTTCAGATTCGTGTTCAGCACATTTCTTTGTATCGAATAACATAATTTTTGCAAGCAAAATCCACGGCAATTACATTTTTGCCTATCATAATACCTGTAATAGTATCGCGCCTCATAATGACGTACAGTGGCGTAGTCGCTAAAGTAAATCATTTTTTTTGCCGTAAATTTTCCTGCAACGGAATATACGGGTCCTGGTCTAATACTAATGGTACAATATTCTGCTACTAACCGACAAAATTTTGGATCTACTATCCAGTCTGGTACTGTTAGTGGCTATTTTTTGATGGATCTGATAGGCTAACGGCTTTACATAGTTCTGATTTGCTAGTTTGCCACAAGCTATCTATAAAAAAGAATAACGGTATCTCCAACCACTTTTTTCAGTCCAACCTATATTTTGTCAACTCTCGGGCTAACCTGTGTGATGTTCTTGACGGGTTCTCTCGAATGGTAAAGAAAATTGAGAAACTCTTACTAGTTTAATGATTTCAGGTGGGCTCCCACATTGATCGAACATGGAAAAGCCTCAAAATTGAATCTAAGCAAGACTGAAGATTTGACGGACAATGAAAAAGACAAGTAAAAGAAAAAGAATAACCCTTTTTTCATGGACAATTTGGTGTTTAGTATCACATTGGTTACCGGAGCGATAACATTAGTTTCGGGACTTTTCGGTGTCGTGATGGGGTCATTGATAGCTCACGTGAGTAATAACAATTCGAATTCTAAATTAAAATCATTTACATTGCAATAGAATAATTGCTATTTTAGTGGCTCAAAATAGGCAAGGGACCATTTCGACGGCTCAAAACGCAAAGCGCCGATGCATGGGTTTGCACGATGTGAGTGATTCGATGCGAAAAGTCTAAAATTTCAGAGTTTCCCTACTAGGCAGGTTATCGGACATTTGATATGCACCCTGTCCTTTTGCCATTGGCAATCTAACTTTGAGCTCAAATATCTTTGTGTTGGGCTGTCGAATTTAAATATTCTTGATATTATTAGATGCGCCAAGTCTTTCTCTGTCGATTAGTACAAAAACTATTTAAATTGGACAGCGTAGCACCAAGCTATTTGAGCTCAAAGTTAGATTGCCAATGGCAAAGGGGGGCGAAACACGTGTCAAATGACCCACAATCACTAGGCACAATCAAAAAAGTTTAGCGGTGCGCTCATTTGCATTCCGACAATGGCCGTCGGCTTTCCACTGGCAAAGGATCATTTGGCAATTGCTTATGTAAGTAAAAGAGATGACCAATTTCAATGAACACTTATAGGTTCTCTTTTTCATCGGTATTACCGCCGCTTGTTGCAATTTAGCCGTAGTGATCGATTTACAGTTGGTGAGTTGTACAAAAAAGGTTAAAATTTGCTTATACTCAGCCACAAAAGCCACTCAGAAGTCGATAGCTTGAGTACACAAATCGTTGCATTTAAAGTGCAGAAAAAGTGTAATTTTCAACGTGTCGAAATGGCGGTTTCTGAAAACCTATGTTAAAAGTGACAAATTCGTGCTCAGCACCCTCGATTATCCCTAGAAAAGTGAAATAAACGTGAAAAAATCAAAAATATAGGTGCCCCCCCAACTCACAAAGTACCAAACTGATCGATAAATAAGTCTGCTAGGAAGAAATTCGTTTTTAGTCAGTGATTGCTCCGAGTCGAAGAAACACGGCAAATTCATGGCAAACTCTTGTTTCATCAATACTCGGTGATGCTACTGGTCCATACATTGTTGGAGCTGTAAGTGAACGATCAATTTTCAAAATTAATGAATTCAAAACAGATATCGGATGGAGTACGAAAAGGGTCAACACCATCAGATCATTTCGATTCTCTCGTCAAAGCTTTCTATTTTCCTGTTGGAGTTTTGGGTGAAACACTATTCCTTTAATTCTTTAAAAATCATTTTCTATAGGTCTAGCAACAATACTATTTTTCGCATCAGTTTTAACAACAAAACGAGATCTTCGGAAAATTGAATTAGAACAAGGTTTGATTCCGAAAAATAAAAACCCCAAAACCATTTTATAGAACTTGAAAAGAGTAGACCGATTTCCACGACAAATTTGGATTGGTCAAATAGTGTTTCGAAACAATGGGAATAAGCATAAATATTTATATTGTCACCTTAACAATGCGAGTTCAGGGAGTTCAGGAAATTTCAGGGAATAGATGGAAAAGACAATCTTGGGCATATCTGTAAAAAGAAAGAATTCAATGGGAAACCCGTTTTATTTTTACCGTTTCTGTAGAGCATAATTCAATTCTCGAGCATGATCAATGTCACGCGTTTCGGCCACAATTTTCACTCGCACAGTAAATACATCAGAACGAGTCCAAGAACGTTCCTACATTCTACTACCTGAAGCTTCTACAAAAAAGTTTTACCAGAAAAATGTCCTTAATTGAAGCGCCATTCTCGGCAATGATATTCGTCAGTTCAGAGATCCCACCAGGACGATCTGATACATTCACCTAAAAATAAGAAATAAATGTAAAATAGCTATTTAAAAACCTTGAAGCGCACAAGACGATTATCCCAAGCCATTCCTTGAAAAGAAAATGGATTCAACAAAACAACAAACCAGAAAAAAAACCTCGTTCCATTACGCGCCCCAATTGGGTTGTATCGATATTGCCTCCACTAAGCACAGTCACCACCTTAATGACAGGTTTTGCAAACAAATACCCACAAATCAAACCTTTTTCCCTTTAAATTGATTGAGTTTCCCTAACAACAATGCTCCGACTCCACAAGCTCCAGCCCCTTCGATCACAATCTGTAAGCTTCCTATTAAACATTTACTGAAGAAAACAAACCTTTTCCAATTCAACAAGGCGCAAGATGGCCAAACCGATCGCTTTTTCATCGACAACTATCGCATCATCAACTTTGTCTAAGAATAGTATATATTAGGTCGAACTATTATAAAAGTCAAAACTAACCTTTAGCTGTAGCAAAAGCATTAACACCGATTACAGGTACAGCTAAGCCATCGGCGAGAGTCGGTAAAACGGAGGTTTCGATTGGATGACCAACTTGAAGAGCATTCTAAATAACCCCTTATAAGTAAACATTTTAGGGTTCCTTGAACCTTGAATGATGGACAACGATCAGCTTCAACGGAGATAATTTTCACATCGGGACGTAATCCTTTGATAGCAGTAGCCACTCCTGCAACAAGTCCTCCACCACCTGCCGGCAAAACTACAGCATCAACGTCAGGAACCTAATCACAAAGTAATCTCAAATATCAAACGACTATTACCTGTTCAATTATTTCCAAGCCAACCGTTCCAGCGCCAGCAATAACATCCTTATGATCATAGCTAAACATTGCTGGCTTGTATACGAAATTAAAAACACTCACCCATTAATGTACTTTCCACCTTCATCTAAGCTTTTGCCCAATGCAATTAGCCGGCTTTCAGATAGGTTTTTCCCCTAAAACTCACGTGAAAAGATACAAAAAAAGCGCTTCTACCTGAACAATGACGTTTCCTCCCAACTTCTTGCAATGAGCAATCTTTTTAATTGGTGCATGTCGAGGCATTACCACCTAATCAAAGCATATCAACTATTTAAACATTTTACTTACCGTAACGGGGATACCCAATTGTTTTCCATGCATGCAGAGTGCTTGTGCGTGATTACCAGCTGAGGCAGCATAAACCTAAAACGAAGAAAATTCAGCAGACACCACAAATCTTACTCCTTTCTTTCGCTCGCTTTCTGTAAGATTCATTAAAGCCCATCGAGCGCCTCGTTCTTTAAAGCTTCCAGTTGTCTAAAATCTCAAATTAAGCAAAATCGAGCCAAGAATCAACTTGTGTCTGTTCCATCTTCAGGTAAACATTGATGTCCGTCAAATCAGAAAGCGGGTGCGATCGTTGGCATAAAGTGTGTTTGATGAAACCCTGTAATCATACCATAAATTGTTTAAAGATAATCAAAACGATTACTTCGATTCCATCTGCGGCTTCAGTGATTGCAGCTCGCTCGATGACAAGTGGATTGGACGGATTGCAGCAAGGATCTATCAAATAAGTCGGAGTTGCCTGAAATAAAAATGAAAGTTGCAAGAGAAATATTAAAAGAAGTGAATACAAGAAACAAGTAGATAACAACCTTCAGAACTCTTGATGATACGGAAAACCTTCGAAATGGAATTGCTAAATGGGTAATCTCAATAAGTTTCACCTCAAAAATTAACCATTGATCGAGGATTTCAACATGAAGTAAATACAATAAGAAATGGAACAATAAGAAATGGCCAGCCAGGAAATCGAGTAGAGAATAAATGAATAGGATTGGGTTTTTGGGATGCTTGGTTACAAAGTATGTAATAGGTTTACATTCAAATATTAAGCAGTTCACATGGTAATTTTTCAAGAATGTTAAATTGCTGTATCTATAATGGTTCAAAATGGTTGATACATCCCTTTATTGATCTAAATTCACGAATAAGTACATCACACATAAATAAACACAAGTATAAAGTGTGACGTATAAATGGTTTGTTTCGCTTTTTCATCCAGGCTTTTCATTTGTCGAGGGCTTCAGTTCACAACTTTCCATTCTGCACTCTTTCGGTTGCATTCTTCTAAAAACAAGTTTCTGTTTACCTATTTTTTTTTCTCTAAAATACATACCACATCAGGCATGAGGGCGATAATTTGACATTCCAATTCCGTCGACACGTGCAAAATGGCGCCTGCGTTGACGAACTAAACAAAAAAACTCTTGAGTCAAGAAAGGATTTCTTACCGAATTGCAATAACTAGGAGCCGCGAAAAGAGTGATGATTCATCCGCCATACGTTGAGAAACCGTCATAACACACTTGATGAGCTCGGCGCGATGATATCGACGTTCCAATTCTCGCACAAATTATTGATGGCCTAAAATACAAATTGATACCAGCACCAAATGATAGATACTTACTTCAGCCCAAACATTATTCCACTTCCGATTTCGATGGCCTCCATCCCGGATGACAAGTAGCTGGATAGGCTTACACCGTGGAATGGATTGCACAACGGTTTCTAAAAATAAAATTTGTAAGATTAAAAAATAGAAAATATTACCTTGATTTCCCGAATTTTGTCGAGAGTTTCCATTTCGGGGAGAGGCATACACAAAATCTTCGTTCCAACGAGAGCGCAAATGGGCATCAAGTTGAAGACTTTCTAAATAAGAATGTAAATAAATTGAATCAAACACTAAAAACCTGAAACAATGCCCAAACATATTCCCCCTTTGCTCCAAGCTTCAAGCAGTCTTCGTAGAAACCATAGTGTTTGTTGACTCTGGCACCCTGGTGATTTCCTCGCAATAGATACAAATCATTCGGGTAAAACGTCTAAATATCGGATAAATTTTATACGTTTATGCAATCTTTTACCTTGTAGGCCAATATGAGCATGATACAATTTTTGAGGTTTTAGCTAAAAAACACTATATAATTAAATTTGTCGAAAAAACCCGTTTTCCAGCCATTCCAACATTCGCCAGTTTAGCCGAACTAGTTTTAGAGAGAAACAAATCGAACGATTTCTCCAGATCACATTCTAGAAATGATGCGCATGTTTTTGCAAGCAATCGATTTCATGCACTCTGAAGTGAAGTATTTGCATGGTGATATCAAACCGGAAAACATATTGCTCAAAGCAAGAATTATAAAAAATTTTGCTCTTTAAGCCTTGTTTTAGGATCAAAGATATTTGCAAAGTACCAATTTTCCTCTTGAAATCGTGGTAATCGACTTGGGAAGTGCTGTTTCACTTGATCATCGTAAAGCTATGGAGAATGTGAACCAGCTACTAATTGGTACCAAACTATGAGTAAGTTATACGTTTTAAATTAATTACTAAACAATGTTTAGGACTTGCGTTAACGGAAAAAATTGATGTCTGGGCATTAGGATGCACAATATTTGAAATTTATCGAGGATGGCCGTTGTTTCAGGTATATTTGCGCTTAGACGTTACTATTGATCTTTAGCATAACGGTCTGGAAGAGCACCTTGTGATACTACAATGGTTGTTTCAACGCAGCATTCCATCTACAATGCTCTTCGAATATTATCGCCGAAATGTGAAACCAGTTGATTCGGATGAGTTAGACCCACCACCAGAGAAACGAGCAAAGATGGGTACGCCCGATTATGACGCAATCTACACGACCAATTGTGACCTACCAATTCCTCAACAAGCAATGATCGATGGCCTTAAAGCAATTCATTATGGACCGGAGATCGACCTCATTCGTTACTTGGGAATACCGCGATCAGATGAAGAAGAAATAGTACACAAGCTTATCATCGAAACACTCAAGGTTTGGCAAAAATTTTGTTAACTTTATAAAGTTGCTTTAGATTTTACCGGTATGTCGTCCATCACTACGAGAGCTTCTACGTGATTTTTTTAATTCCGTTTAAAGGTTAATTTTTGTTGTCTTTAACGATTCTATATTTTGAGCGCTTTCCAATGGGAATAAAACTATGGTTGTTCTTGAATTTAGTTTTTGGTACCTTGTTTTTGTTTTTTTGCAGTAAAATAAAAACTCACGATATTCAAGAGCGTATCAAGCATTGCGCTAGTAAGGACAAATTGTGACAGACAGAAATAAGCAATAAACCAATTTTCATGAAAATGAGGCACATGTAATTTTCACAAATTTCACTCTGCATTTATTGGTACTTTTGCTTGGTTGTGTCCGTTTCATCTTTTAAAATATACGGGGCAACGAGAAGATGCCGTAGAATGAAGAGACGGGGAACGAAATAGAAAAACCCACAAGAAAAAGTGGGAAGAAATTTGAAAAGCGGAAGTATGTAGTACGATCAAGAAAAAAGGGAGAAATAGATTAAGGGTTTGGTGAAAGTTTGTAAATCTGTTTCATTTTGAGGAAAGCGTTTTGGATTGTGTATGGATGTGCCCCGAAATTCTCGCGACACAAACGAAAACACGAGGAACAGGCAAGGGAAACTGGTGGGGAAACTCATGGATAGACACATTTATTTTTCAAAATTTTCAAAAAAATCTACCATGAATTTGGAATCAACATGCTTTGTCATCGAAAATTCTTGGTCTTGTGCAACTGTATCAATTCATTTCTTTTCGAACAGCCCAAGGATTTTCCGATGGAATTGAAAATACTACGGCATAATTGAGTAGTCGTAAACAAAAATCATCAGTTTAAATTTTTTAGTCAAACTCAATGAAACAATATCGCTCTGCATGCATTTTTGTGGTAAAAACAATGCTTTGGAATTAATCGATGCTCACAAAAACAAATTATCTCTAGTCCAGCATTCCTTTCTGAATTGTTTACATGGCACACACCATTGCGCAATAATATTAATTTATACAATTCAAAAGACAAGAGGAGACAAATATCAACGGGATTTCCTTTTCTTAAGAATAGCGCAGAAAAACAATACACAAGAGAAAAACGGATAATTCTGAGACGACACAAAAAACAGTACACCGAACAAGGAATCAAATAAAACAGTTTGTGTGGAAGACAATTTTGAAGGATCAAGGCCGGATGGCTTTATCAAAGAAAAGTTTTGGAAACAAGGTTTGTGCGGCTTGAGACCTGTGTCGGCAGGGAAGTGGAAGGTTAATGGCGATCGGAAGCAAATTACTTTGTTGTCATCATCGTCACGAACTCTAAAAGGGTTTCATTGAAACATAATATTATTTAAATGATGCTATTCTTGTATACTATTAGGTTGATGCATAAGTCTTTTCGTTTTTTTCGTACTTCTGTTAAAAAGTAACAAATTCACCAATTAATCTATAGTTTGCTCTATAAAAAAAGTGTTTTTTTTGTTCAATTTGCATCTTTTTAAATCAATTTCGGTTCACTTTCAAGCTAATTCGAGAGTGAAAAACGCCTTTTTCGTAAAAATCTATAAAAAACTCTACGGAAAAATTGGCTGAATGAATTTCTCTGAAATTTTGGCGAAATATCAAACTTTTTTTTTTCTGTATCTTTTATCTATTGACACGATGATAGGCTTTCTTTAGCTAAGGTGTCTAAACCGCATCATCGAGTTAGCCCTTTTTGACTACCCGACTTCATACTCTCAAGAAAATCCAGGCATAAAATATTTTTAAACCCGTTTTAATGTTATTTTGCAGAAAAATAATTGGTTTTTCTAATGAAATCAACCGTAGTTTAATTGGTGCATTTGTTGGCTTGAAACGGCAGACGAAAAGGAACGAAAAGACTTATGCATCAACCTAATATAAGCCTGAATAAGTAAAGCACTAGTCTCTACGGTTAATACTTATCATCCGGTATTAAACCATTAGATTTTATTCTAACTATAAGCAATAAACGGCACCTTCATAGTTGACTTGGCCATCTCCATCAATGTCAGTCTTACGAATCATCTCATCAACTTCCTCGTCGGTGAGTTTTTCACCAAGGTTGGTCATCACGTGGCGCAACTCGGCCGCTGAGATGAAACCGTTGCCGTCCTTGTCGAAAACCTAAATTAAACAAATAATTTCATCACAAAGTCAATAAGAGATGATCGAGCTAGTCGATACCCTTCAGAGAAACATGTTATTCTAGATTCCCTTAAGCACAGTACACCATAAGAGAAAGCATAATTCATTGCCATTTTCTGATACTGGTTGGTCAGACGTAAGTTACTCGCTAACTTAAAAACATATCATGCTACTAGGGGATTTGCTACCTTCTCTAGCTTTACAAAGTCAAAATTGTTTACCCTGAAGGCTTCGCGAATCTCTTCCTCCGAATCAGTATCCTTCATCTTACGAGCCATCATCGTGAGGAGCTCGGGGAAATCGATTGTTCCGTTTCCGTCCGCGTCCACCTCATTGATCATGTCTTGCAACTCAGCTTCTGTAGGGTTTTGTCCTAGCGATCTCATGACGGTTCCCAATTCCTTGGTGGTGATCGTTCCATTACCGTCTTTGTCGAACAGCGAGAACGCCTCTTTGAATTCTAAAAAAGAATTGTTGAAATTTTATATCAACAGTGATTTTTCTATTGTTTCTTTTCACATTACAGATACGTGAAGCGCTTTTTACTTAAACTAGTCTCTAAACAGGTAAAATGGCTTGAAGGGGTGTGGGACAAATGCGACTTTTTTTCTCGCTGGAAAAGGCCGTAGAGCTTCAAAAATGTATTTGTGTAAGGGAATCGTATGCGTAGATTCCGAATTTCGACAAATCAGACCTCGCTGGCACGTCAAATGTGGGCTAAAAGGCAAAAGCTGCGGAAAAGCGTTGAATTGCGTAGGTTTTGCCTTTTAGCCCAAATTTGACGTGTCAGCGAGGTCTAATTTGTCGAAATTCGGAATCTACGCATACGATTCCCTTACACAAAAACATTTTTGAAACTCTACGGCCTTTTCCAGCAAAAAAAGGTGCGCAGAATAACGTCGCATTTGTCCCACCCCCGGCTTGAAGTGTTAAAATGTTAACAATATCTACCAAACAACCAAAAGGCACAAACCAGCAATTTGCTCCTCGGTGAGTTGATCTGCCATTACGACCGGTTATATGGAGGGAGATCACAACAATACCTGGAAATTTCAAAAATTAAAAAGGGTCGTATAACGAACAGAAATGGAAAGAGGAGAACAAATCAAATTGAATGAAACTGAATTTGTTGCTAGAACTACAAAGTGTAATTGTTGCAATTCTCGAGGCAATAAGAACAATGTAAATCTAAATTTCCTGGGGACGTAAATATAGGTTAGGATCAACAGGCGAAATGATAAAGAAATGGGGATTGTAGTCATCCAAAGAGTCCATTAGAATGATTGGTTGGAAAGGCTAGAAAAAAGTATGAAAATTAAGGGATGGTTACTTTGTGCAACTGGATCATTGCCCAACTCGCCATAACCTTCTTCTAAGTGGGCCAATCTTTATGATTTTAGTGTCATTTTGTTGCACTTGTTGATATCTACAAAATGAAACCAAAATCATAAAGATTGACCGACTTAGAAAAAAAGTTATGGCGAATTGCGCAAAAAATTTGGCACAAAATGGCGACCAATGTCACCTTACAGTAAGATTTTCAATTTTTGATTGAATAACTTAAAGTGAATGGCCGCATAGCAGAATGTGACTTCGAATTCGAATCGAAGTATCTGGTTCGGAAAAAAATTCAGTATAATCCCGCTGATTACAATGATTGTCACTGTCCTCTTCCCTTTTCCGCGGAATGACCTTCATTAAAAGCTTTAACCAAACGAATCCTGAACAACGACCACTTTCTGAAATTAACCGATCAACATGGAGAAGCTATGCTAGATTTGTACAAAAATAAGATTTTAGATTCCGCTCCTAAACCTCTTTTATGATAGGCTTACAAATATTGTAGTTAGGTTTTTAAAAATTGAAAATAAATCTGTTTTACTTAACAAGTACGGTTCAAATTTGCGTTTCATGGTTTCTCTTTTTTAATTACCTATTGAGTGAAGGAAATGCATGTTGAAAAGCCAAAAGAAAGAAACGGAAAACTAAAAAAAAAACGATCTCTCAAAACGCGTACCAACTACCGTAGTCTCTAATCTGTGGAGGAGATTTGAGCATCTTATTATTTCAGCGAACCATTTTGTTTTCCATTTCGAACGGTTTTTTTTACTAATTTGTTCCCGTTGATCTTTATACCTATGTTTTCCTCAGCTATTTTTTTGTAAATTAATTTTTTTTAAATTTACAGAATGGATATTTTTAATCAACGAACATCGTTTTGCTGTGGAGAGACTCGCATTCTCGAAACGTTGAAGGCCCTCGAGAATGACGATTTTTACCTAACAAGACATGGAAAGTAAGCTCTTGAAGTCAAAATTATTTTATTGTGAGCTTTTTTTAGAACAATCACCTTTGAAGAATTATATCAACTGGATCGTGATGATGTTTTTGAAGTACATTTTCGACTTTTTGGTGGAAAAGGCGGTTTTGGTTCATTGCTTCGCTCGTTTCGTGTCAATAAATCGACAAATAAGGATATGATGAGGTACTTTTTGGGGAAGAAATTTATTTATACTTGTATTTAGAAATTTGGATGGACGAAGATTGGGAGCAGTTGAGAAAGAAAAGAAGATTCGAAAGTGGCTTGAGAAACAACAAGAACGAGAGAAAATCACAAAGGAAAAAGAGTTTGTGGTACTTGAGTTTTCGTATTTATTGATTTTTAGGAAGAATCGTCTGCAAAAGCTCAAATCAAAGCCTACGCACAACTTTGAGGATTCAGAAAAGTTTGAAGAACAAAGAAAAGAGCTTGAGGAGAAAACGGAGGTTGCTTTTGAAGATGGTAAGCTAATTTTTATTTTTTTAAAATTATTTTTCTTAGGATTTAAACAATTCCTACAAGCTAAAGAAAAGAAGCCTACGACTCAACTCGAAGAATCTTCAAGTGATTCTGAATCTGATCCCGATCTTCCTGGAACAAGCGGGTTAGCTTGCCTACTTACCTTACACTTTTTGACAGTTTAACATCAATTTCCTAATATTCAGCCAATTTAAACCACTATTTAGCTTTAACTTCCACAAACTCGGAAGCAAGCGAAAACAAACGTTGAATGGGAAACATCAGAACGGAGTTCCGGAAAAGAAAGAAAAGCTTATTGAATCGTAAGTCTTTGGATTGCCATAGATTTAATTCTTTTTGTAGTCATCAAGAAGAAAACGTAAAAGACAATGGAAATTTGGAAGATTTAGCACCAAAGGTAATGAATTATTTCTTTTTTCAAAATCTATATTGTTTTAGGAAAAGTCGGCACCCGAGAAAGTAGATGTTAAAACTGATGATAAACCAACGATTCCCGTTATCAAGCAAGAAGAAACAAGGAAAGAGCAACCTGTAAAATCTCCCAAAGATAAAGCCAAGCCCAAGCCAGCTGTGGAAGAAACACCAAAAGAGTTTCCAGCCGTTGATTTGAAAAACTATGAAAATGCTCAGCTGCTCGAGGATTTGGGATTAAATCATTTGAAACACGCTTTGGAAAGTAAGTTTTGCTTGGCTTGTGTTTTCTAGATTTTTTTCATTCATCACTATTACCCATGTTCAAATTTTAGCTCGAGGTCTGAAATGTGGCGGAAATCTTCACGAAAGAGCAACTCGTCTTTTCTCTATTAAAGGACTCAAGCCTGAACAATATCCTAAGACGATCATCGCAACTCAGCAAAAGAAAACCAAAAAGTGATGTAACTACCTATACAGTGTTTTTATCACAATCAATTCTTTATCCAATAAACGATTGTTTTAAAAGTGCATAATTCATTGAAAACATTACGGATTGTTTTTTACTTTTGAATTTTAGTGGAGGTCCTTTTCTTTTCTGAATATATATTTTACAGATGACTGCGAAGACGAAACAGGGTGCCAGTATGAAGGTAAGCTTTTACAATATTGAGTTTTAGTCTTTTCTCCATCTTTTGATTGTGGTTAATGTGATGTTTTTAGTCGTCAAAATCTCTGGTTGACGAGACAACAGACGAGAAGAAAGATGAAAAAGCGGTTAGTGATTTTGAGAAAAGTGTTCTAAATAGATAATTTAGGAAATAGTTGCGTCTAGTGTTGATTCAGCAAAAGAAATTACTGTAGCGAAAGAACAGGTATTTGCGTTAAACATTCGTCCTTCTTTATTCGCGTTAAACACCTTCAACAAAATTTAGGTGCGCAAGGCTCTGAAAGCATTAAAGACTCATGCCGCAAAGACCAGCTCAAAATCGCTGTTTCCGGAGATTGATCAAGTAAACAATATTTTTAACCGCTTGACTTTAATGTATGTAGTCCGTTCAATTGCTTGTATGTTACAAGAAACCTGCATTGGTCAACAATGGAATGAAAAGACGAATGTAAGTTTTATTAAATGCGTGTTGTAATCACAGTTTCTGTTTCCTTTTAGTGTACTTCCACACTCTGATCGCTCGATAAAGAATACGACAATTTGTTTGATCATGCCCGATTTGGATCAATCAGCTTCAGCACGTGTTAGTTGATTTTTTGAAGTCAAAAAGAAACCTTTTTAGACGGATGCCGATGTGAGTAAGCAATCGCGTGAATGGGCGGCGATGATTGAAGAGGAACATGGTATTACAATTGGAGAACATGTGTCGAAGGTCTACTAGTGTGAAATTTTTCAAATAGCTATTTTTTCTATTCAGATTATCAATAAGCGGCAACTTGAACGTGAGTATGGATCATTTAAACAACGACGCGATCTAGCCTCAGCTTATGATCTCTTTATGGTTGGTAAAGGTTTCTAGATCTAAAAACGAATTTCTAGGTGGATGCCCGCGTGTCAAAATCTGTGCGCAATTTTGTTGGAAAGGAGTTTGCAAGAGCCCACAAGTAGCTAGTATTCTTGTAAATTGCAACTTTTGTCTTTTCAGGGTCCCTCTTGAGTTCAAATATGATAAGCCTCTCGCTTCGAGCATTGAAAAGACACTTCGAACCACAATCTTTTCGACTAGAGCTAGGATGCCTAGAGTATGAAATGATTCACGTTTGAAAATTTTATACGATAAATTTAGGTTGCCGTTCGTTGTGGTCACTTGGGTCAACCAATTTCTGATCTGGCTTTGAACGTTGATGAGGTTAATGGTCGAGAAGATATATTTTAATTTTTATGATAGGTCATCGATTCTGTTGCTCAACATTGCCCTGGAGGTTTCAATAACGTTCGATCACTCTATCTTCAATTGCCAAGTGGAGTTCCTTCATTGTGTCTACACATGGATAACGGTTTTTATTGCAAACTTGTTGCCAAACGTAAAATGGTGTCTAGGCTCTGCTAATGATGTGGCTTTGACGGCTCCAGAGAAGTTCAAGCGCCGTAAACACGAAATTGAAGGAGAACTATCCACTTTGCCAGATGGACTGAAGGTTTCATTTTTAAAAAACTCGTTTAATAACTTTTACTTTAGGTGGCCGTTCTGCCAACAGGTCAAGCACGAGTTCTTCGAGAAGATGATTCACTTGCCGTGTATTATCCAACAGGTGGTTTTTAAAAAAAGGTGCAGCTTTATCGAGCTATTTTAGTTAATGATGAATGGGAAGAAAATGATGACATGAGGCCGGTGCTAAACCCAGACAAAATTAACAAGAAGAAGCTGAAAAGAAAAGCTTTGAAAGAAAAAGCTGAAGCAAAGAAGGTGTGTTTATGTACAAAAACAGCTCACCATGCTTGTCATTTAGAACAAGGCTAAAGGCGCCTCTCTAAAGAATATTGCTGGACTTCTCTGTTCGCCAGGAGACTTGAAAGAAGAGAATCAAGAAATTAAAGTAAATCAAGTTTCTTTTCTTTAATATGATTGTTTTAGGAAGAAGGCGAGGATGTCAAGGAAGACATTAAAGAAGAAGACCATGACAATGAAAGTGATGCTGATGAGGCCCCGCCAGTCAAGAAAGTCAAAAAGGTTTTTCTCTTTTTACAATTTCAGAAAATTTTGGCCAGATTATTCCGGTTATGTTTGAACACTTTATTTAGACGCCTGCATTGAAAAAGCATCCTTTGAAGATGTCGAAGCAAAAGAAGGGGAAGCATTAGCTAATAATTCACTTTGTTTGTCACATCATTATCATTGTTTTTGTTGTTGTTGTTGGTTTTCCTGATAAGTTGTTATTTCATGCCGTTGTTGATTTAAATAAATTTTATTTTTTATGGTTTAATTGAAATTATCGCTAGAGAATACGAAGTAATGTTTGGGTTAAAAAGAAAATAAAAACTAGTTTTGTATTAATTTGTTAGGTGTGCATCTATTTTGTTGAAGGATGTCATTACCGTGGTACTATCTGGAGCGAGCCACGAGGGTAAAATTAGTACGGTACGTTTGTTTGATAACTAAATTTTACCCAACTGCTCATACCTAAATGATCAATGCACACTTTAGATTATATTATTTAACCTGTTTCTTCACATATCCAGCGTTTGTTGCATTGAATTACAAAAGCTATGTTCCGGATAGAGCTCAGGTAACTCCATTTTACAATTCTCCTACCATAAATGTATTTTAGATACTTATGGGTAGAAGTCTTCAAGATGAAATTCTTAATCCGCGCAATATAAAGCAATGATGTGTCTTTTCTAGGTTTTATTTGATTACTTAAATTAGGATGTATATAAATATGAAACGTTTATTCTCCACACACGAATCATAGCATAAATTAAATGACGTTAGCTCATTTACAATTGTTCACTTTCTACATCAATCACCTCTTCCTCCCCATCAACATCAATTTCGTTCGCAGATCGCACTATTAACTGTAGAAGAGATTATTGATAAGTTTGTCACTATATCTATCACCTCTCCAGGACTCGTTGTCAAAGAATCGAATCTTTTAGGCATTTTAGAATCTGTTTCAACTTCCTGTCCGGTTTCATTCCCACAATTTGCCAGTAACTAGAGTTGGTGGATTTTATTTTTATTAGCTTTAGCTAGCATACCGCTCTATGATGGTTTGATAAGGAATCTAGATGCTCCGGATGTTCCCTTTTGAAAGTCTTTGAAGGGTGTCTGAAATTTTTCTTTATCCTTTTTAAAGAGAAAAGCTTGACATTTGATTTTGAAGGTATTGATGATCTGCATTGTAGATATCGCCATTTTCTTCCGGAAAACGCCGTTTTATGACCCTGAAACTGTAGTAATCAAGATTTAACATATTTCACAAACCTGATGATCCTTCTTGGAGGATTATTTTGAGTGAGTTGTTGAGATGAAATTGGTGGCGCGATTCGATACAGCTAGAATTGCAGTGTAATATTCAGTTTAAAAACTCTAGATGCATTTTTGACGTACCTGTTTTGGAATGCCCATCATTCCATCGTTGTTTTGGTGGGTCATCGTTCGTTCCTAAAAATGTCATCAGTATAAAGATTCGTAGTTTCGAAACAAACATCATATTGATTGATTATTAAACGATCACGAAGAGCTTTCTTTTGAGAAGGATTCAAGTAATCTAGATTTTCATTAGAGTAATTTGAATTAAATGATTGTCTCACTGAAATCCATTGCCGAATCGAGAAAGACTTTTGATGGGCCTTGAATGAGAGATCCATCTGGGTTCTCATCTCGGATTACCTGCATTCGTGGTTCGTTTTTTATATAACAATTGGGTTTTTTATCGATTTCGCAACTCATTGAGCTTATTGATTCTGATTTTTAAATTGTGCAAAAAGCGAATTTTAATAGTTTCAGAGTGTCTGATGTATTTGCTTACCCGAACTCGAGCTTTTGCCAAAGCCGATTCGATAATATTTTTCCCTTGACAGAAATGTCGATTGATCGGATTATCGGGATCTTCTCGAATCACATCATCGACGACGAGAATTCGCGGAACTTTTCCGATTTTTTCATTTCCAACCATTTCTCCCTTTAGCTTTGATTTTATGTCAATTTCGTTTTTTTTTCACAAACCATTTTTTTTTGCTTTTGTTTCATCACGGAACATTGAATGCACATCCAAGTTGTATAACCTAAAAGAAAATACGTTTTCTTTTTGATAGAACGAGCTTTATACCTGGGATTTTCGTAAAATTATGTACAAAGCACCATTCGTAAACTCGATTCGGGAAGAGTTTACTCTTATAGATGATGATCTGGAAATGAGATTTGATTAAAATCAAACGAAAATCTGGAACCGGGTTTTTCTTGTTTCTTCCCATCAGATAATTCGCTTGTCCATAGTCCTCAAGAATGACTTTTGGGGGCTAAAAGGGTTCTTGGATAAAAAAAAACACTTTTTTTTCTTGTTACCATTGAGCAAGTGGGACGACTTGACGGTCCAGCTTCATTTAGATCAACTCGATCATCACTGAAATTGAGCATTGGCCTTAAAATCGGCTTTCCATGTGCATTTAAAGCAAATCGCAACTTTAAATGCAATTTTTAAAATTAAAATAAAGTATCTCACTATGATCCAAGCAATTGATTGTCATCATTCTCGAGTCCGTGATCGTTCATTGAATGACAAAAATCAAGGAAAGATTTCCAATAATTACTTTTTCGGGTAAGAAACTAATACTAGATGCGTTTTTACAAGCCTCTTACAAAACCAGGCAATTTCTTGGCTGTTAGAGGGCAGAGTTTATGTGTCATTTAGTGCTTCGCGGAGTCGCAGACGAAAATGGAGACCAGTGGACGAAAATCGCAGGTCGGAGTTTATACAAATCGAAAATTGCGATTTGTTTAATTCAAATTCATTGATAATCATTGAATTGGGCTGCTTTTAACAACGTTTTCTCTTTTCTTCATTAGTTGCTCTATCTTTTAAATAAAGATAAGAAGAAACGGTCGAAAATAAAGGGTAAACCATGCGTCTGAAGTTTCATTTAAAACACAATTCTTTATTTCAAAGCTGAAAATGGTGTGTTCACCATGAAAAGACGAACGATAGGGAGTTGATCAGGCGCAAAGCTTCGGAGATACCACGAGAAAGCAAAACACAAAAAACGAATATTTTTTAAAGTCGAGTCGAGAAGTGATGAGATCTGTTGGGGTGATTTTTCCATTCATTCATCAACGATTTTCTTCCATTTACCGTTCACGTTGATACGCTAAAAAAGAAATTTAAGTTGGTATTTTAACAAAACAAACCGTTGGTTCATAGTTAGGACAATCAACAATGAGACGCATTCCTTCGAAACCGCTGGGAGCCGTTTCACCTGCATGCACCCACCAACGAGAACTAAAACAAAGAAAAAGATTTCTTTTTACAAAAAAACACTTACTGAACATCAATATTCACAAGAATTCCACGGCGATGTGTGCGTATCACTTCCTGAATATAGTGCTAATGAAAAAAAACAACGTTACATCTACATGTTTCACAGTATGAGAAGGTTGATGATTTGATGTGGACTTGCCGCCATCGTCCTCGGGAAAAATCCTCTGGAAAAAATAAAAATGTAACAGTTAGATAAACACTCACCTTGCTGGTTGAGTAGCTAACGCGACGGTGTGTTCGAGAACAAAATGTAACAATAACAAAATGTTAGATCATGAAAATGCGTACCCCTTTCGGTTGCTTTGACGCGATTGGCTGGACTCGGATTTCTCATACTAAAAGGATTATGAGCATAAATTTTAAAAAATTCAGATCACATTACTTTTTCTTCCTTTTTCTGTGTGGCGATTCGACTTCCATTTGGTGTTTGTGGGCGAAGATCGATTTGAGAGACGGGAGCCAGAACAGGAGCTGGATATGTGAGTGGATGATTGGGTGATGGAGTTGTTGGAATGGCTGTTGGAGGGCTAAAGCAATAAGATGGTAGAAGGTAAATGAATAAAAAAAAGCATTTAGCGCCCTGTACGACAAAAACACTACTATAGACTAACCAAACCATGTCGACATTTGTCTCAGCACTTGCTCCTTTCTCATCACTGTTCTTGTTCACATTATTGATTTCCTTAAACATAGTCGGTAATTAATAGGTAAAATCAAAGCAACTTGATTGACGACATCCTCCAAAACCACCATTCGATTCTCATTCAGATAACCGTGAGCTGTCTCAGAAACTAAAAAATAGTGATTGTGTAGAGAAAAAAATGCAACCTATATCTTTGGGAGTTCCGTCGACTTGAGTAACGGTGACACGATCGCCCGGTTGACCCATGTCGCACAAATACTAAACACGAAGAAATGAAATGGTTACTTTTATGTGACATTAACTATCTTGTGTTTAAAAAAAACTGGTACTTTGGTGGCTGGAAGGGGCGACTTTTATCCTGGCTTCGTTGGATCTAATGTTTTGAGTGGTTGCATTGATACCTTTTATCTACCTATTCTAGGGCAATCAAATATGCATATACTTTTAGAGCATTTACAACATGTTTCAAGTTTCATATTGCCGCTTTTATTTGATTTTCAAGTGTAAACAGCTTTGAGGTAGCGTTTTGTGGTTAAAGTACATGAGATTAGGCTAGAATTGCCAAAAACTTGCTAAAATAGTCACCAATTTATTAAGTATATTTGATTACCCCAGAATAGATAAAAGATCAATACAACCACTCAAAACATTAGATCCAACGAAGCCAGGATAAAAGTGGCCCCTCCCAACCATCAAAGTACCAAAAAACTAGCAGAATCAAGCAGTTCACCTTTTCAATTTTGTAGAAATCTCTTCGAAGATGTCGACGAAATCGGTTCTGTGTTTTCTCGTCTCGCGAACAAGAGACCAGTGTTGAAGTGGAGTGTGAAGAAGAGACTGATGTCGATGAAGAAGACCGACGATCGGATGATTTATCTGGAAAATGAAAGATAAATTAAAGCCCGGACACCTGTTAGCTCTAGTAAAAGTTACGTTTATGGTTGTGAAAAAGATTTATGAAAAAACCGGATCAAATAAAATGTGCTTAATAATCATGAAGGTAATTAAACTATTAAACATTAAAAAAACATATCAAAAAGATCAGGTTGAATCGAATACAACTCAAAATCTATTACCTCTTGTCGACGACGAGTCGCTAGTTGACATTGAAACAATTGAAAATGAAAAATTTTCGCTTCCTTTTCCTTTTGGAAAATTCTTATGTGCAAATTTTGTCGTAAATGTAGATTTAGTCGTTTTAAGTGCAAATCTCAACTTATATGTTTAAGATTTTTCTTTGAAAAGTTTACTATCACAGTTCTTTAGCCTATGAAAGACACAAAAACACATCTATTTTCATGGAAATTCAAGAGATCATCAAAATTTTGAAGAAAAAAAGAAACGAAATCAATCCCTTCGCAGAATTAATTTCCTCGTTCTCGTGAAAACGCGTGCTCGTCGAAAATTTTGTGGATTAAGGGAATTTTGCGGGGATTTTTTCGACTCTTCAATCGTTTTCTTTACAGAATGAGTGGGAAAATGATTTGTCTCGACAATTTTTGAGCTTTTCACCGCTTTGTCGACTTTCTGGGTTGCTGTAGGTCGCCGAATCGGGAAAACCCTTTTAACACTCGAGAATTTCCCTGGAATTCTTGGCCTACTCGTTGTTGAGGGAAAATTCGATGTACTGTTGAAAGCTTCACAGCTCTAGCTGTTGTTGTGAAAAGTTTCCTTGTCATATGAGGGGATTTGGTTGTCATTGTGGCTATCGTTCTACGCATTGTCGAAAATCTTCTCGGCCTCACCGTTGTTGAAGTGATTCTTCTCCTCATCAATTTCCCTTCCATATTCCCTTTCTTTTCCTCTTTTAACATCACTTTTCCCACCACTGCTCCATCATGTCGACTTTTGTCTCCTTTCGGTAATTTCTCTCTTTTATTGATTGTGTTTTTATCGATTTCATTTTTCCTAATCACATCTTTCCCTTTTTTTAAAAGAAAACGAATTTGTCCCTCGGTTTTCTCAACGAAATATCGATTTAAATGATCGATCCTCTTTCGGAAAATTTGTCTCGTTTTAGCCACAGTCAAGCGATTCTTTTGGGTTTCGGTTTTCAAAGGAATTGTGATTTTTGTTGTTATGGGCGATTTTTGTGTGGTGAGATTTGGGTGCTGAATCTCGAAGATTTTCGTTCTCGGCATCGGAGTCGTGTGCTGAAAATTGATCGAATAGCAATTCTTATTTTTTCCCTATCCTTTTTTACCTGCATTTCTTTTCCTCTTTCCATATTTGACATTCTAACAAAATTCTTTTGATTCTCGACCAGTTTCTTCATAAGTAGAGGGAGAGATTTCTGCAAAAAGAGACTTCATGCTACCATTTTGCTTCATTGCTATAGTTTGACACTTTCAAGCGTGAAACTTTCAAGTTTTCAAGCCAATTTCCAAAAACTATCATAGTTTTTATATAAAAAGCAGGTAGATTGGATAAAAATCAGAGACTTTTACGGTAATTTTCGAAAGTTAAGGCGTTTTAGAAAACGCATCTTTTAATTCCGATCAATTCCTTTCAAACCAACCATTCTATTCCCCTCGCCAATCGTTGTCATTGCTGTTGTCATTTCAATTTTTTTTGTCATCAAATCACTTCTTTTCATGAAGCCGCACTCTTGTACTCGAATGCATTGTCCATTTTTACGTCGATAGAACCTCTGACATCCACAACCTGGAGTGCATTTCTTTTCGCATATCTGGAAAAATCGATCAAAACTATTCAGTCAATCATTCATAGCCCTTTACCGTATCGAAAAATTGGGTGCACAAATCACATGGCTGACATCGATACCATTTCTCGTGTTCGGGACAAGCTGAAAGTTGTCAAAATACTTGTCAGAAGTTTTACTTTAAAACTTTAAAACTTGTGCAGAAATGTGCTTTCTGTTATGCGTTCTTTTCTTGTCACTTTCAAACAGCCGATATTTGCGGCTTTTTGATTTGAATTTTTTTCATTTTAGGTCTATAATGTTCTTTTCTCCCAGCTAGCAAAGATTTCCGAGAGATAGGCACTTTCCATATTTCGGGAGTGGGACAAATGCGACCTTTTTTTTGCGCACCCCGACATTTGCGCACCTTGCCCATTAGCGCACCTTTTTTCGCGCTTTAAAAAGCTCAAAAAGCTAATATTAACCAATTTCTATTCCAAAAGTTGTTTTTCTAGGTAATTTTAGGGTGTAGAATCGAAATTTTGACATATCAGAGCTTGTGGAAACAAACGGACGGAGTTATACAAAGAGATCGACAAGAGATACAAATCGACAATTTTCTGTAATTTGATCTAGCCGTTTTGTCTTTCAAATTGGTTCCACAAGCTCTGTTATGCCAAAATTTCGATTCTACGCCCTCAAATTACCTAGAAAAACAACATTTGGAATAGAAATTGGTTAATATTAGCTTTTTAGAGCTTTTTTAAAACGCGAAAAAAGGTGCGCTAATGGGCAAGGTGCGGAAAAAAGGTGCGCAAATGTCCGGGTGCGCAAAAAAAGGTCGCATTTGTCCCACTCCCATATTTCTAACCACTACCACTAGATTTATCATTTATTGAATAAAGCTCTTTATAACAATATTGCTATTTTCTTTCAAAAATTATATTTCTAAAGAAAAAAAATCTACTCTGTTCTGTTGTTGTCATTATCCTTCTCGTTGTCATTGTTCTTCTCGTTGTCGTTGTTGTGAGTGATGAAGAGGGGAAAGAGGGTTGTTTTGAAAATACTAAAAGTTTAAAAAAATTAAAACTTTTTGATTCTGAAAGTATGAAGATTGATATATTATGATAGTACTTTTTTGAAACTTACAACTTTTCGTTCTGAAATTTTGTATCGGTGAATGAGTGACTGCGGGGAAATTCACCATTTTCTCAGTCTTTTTTGTGAAAGGCTAAATTTTGAAAAAATTAAAATTAAATTTATCAATGCATTAAAATTAAATTTATCAATGCATTATATTTAACTTATTTACATTTATAATGGTTTTATTATTCTAGAATCAAGAATTTTGAATTTTAAATGATACTGTAAAATCTCAATCACCTGCCTCAAGAGCAAGAGAGCAATAGTATGTGTAAATATTAGGTTGGCAAGTTATAAACGATCGTTTTTGGGTAATGTGTTTTCTGAAAAAACGGCTTATCCAACCAAAAAACGGTTTGCTTGATTCAAAGGTCATATCCTTAATCTACAAGATGGCTTTTTTGAATTTTTGAAAAATCTTTTATTTCAGAACTTTTAATTTTAATGGCATTTTAATATAAGGCATTTTTATTTTAGAACTTTTTTTAGAAAAAAAACGATCGTTTATAACTTGCCAACCTAATAAGTATTCAAGACTGAATATCTTTCCCATTCCAAGTAAAATAAAGATATTCAGTCTTTACTTTGAATCAAGCATGATTAATATGAATAAGTTTGACATACCGTAGCAATAGACTGACATTTTACTATTCTTTCTGATTTCAAAACGAACCACTTCAGTAATTTCACCCGAAATCATCAATGGTTTTGGTGTTGGGAAATCAGAAGAAATCTGAACAAAAGTCAATGCAAAATTTTGTTTTCATTATCAAAATCACTTCCAATTTCTGCAATTTCTCGAAATCCTCAAGGGAGGTTGGAATCGGAAATGGATCGTTCTGAAAAAAAATGAGTATAGGGATGGAATAAAAGAGTTTAGAGTTAAAAACTGGGCAATAGATTGACGACTTTACCTCAAGAGCTCTGGAAGTTCTTGATGGAGTCGGAATAGATGGAGTCGGAATAGATGGAGTCAGAATAGATGGAGTCAGAATAGATGAAGTCGGAATAGATGGAGTCGGAATAGATGGAGTCGGAATAGATGGAGTCAGAATAGATGGAGGATCGGTCAGAAGAGCTTCTGAAAGGGGAAAAGTTACTGTACTTTATGTATCACAAGGAGTATCCTAGCGTATCTCAAAGAGTATATGTTTAATAAGTTAGCTAGACCTCAAGGAACTCAAGACTTAAGGAAGCAAGGATCTATCCTATACATAAATTTTTCGTTGGGATTCAAGCTCTGAAATCGTATAAAGATGCGGTATCTAGAGTAGAGTGTATTCATCACGAGTAATGCATTTTTTTTAAACGCGCACTTAGGAAAAGTTACCGTACTTTCAGCGAAAATTATGGGAGTGGGACAAATGCGAGCTTTTTTTGTGCGCATCCGGGACATTTGCACGCCTTTTTGCCCATTATAACAAGGATTGCCCTAGACCCACAGAATCGTTTAGTTAGATTCTTATTGACGTGCGATTTTAAGGGCCTGCGCGAGTGGTTTACATTTGTTTTACATATGTTTTACATTTGTCTCAATTAATGCCTCATTTTGCATCACATTAGTTGTTACTTTTATATCTCGCGTTGTTATTTTTAGCGCCCGCTTTTCTTCTAATACACTACTGGACAATGAAATATCATATTTGAAAAAACACTTTCGCACTTTCGCGCGTCTGTAACCCCCTTGTCTTTACCGTATTTCTAAATATTAATATTACCATTGTGTAGCCCTTGAAAAGAGCTTTCAGAAAATGTATAACACTAATAGTTTAAACTCAAAGACAAGGGAGTTACAGACGCGCGAAAGTGCGAAAGTGCTTTTTCAAATATGATATTTCATTGTCCAGTACTGTATATGTTATTTGTTGAGAGATTTGTTGTTTTTATGAATAAAATGTTATATTTTGATTGATAAAATGCTTTGGAGTGACAAAACTACTATCAAGAAGACAGGAAAGCAACAGATACCATCAAGAGATGAAAGCTACAGACCAATAGCGTAAAAAAACAGAAAGCAAGCGAAGCCAAGGGATTCTGTGGATCTAGGGCAGTCCTTGTTATAATGGGCGAAAAGCTGCACAAAAAAAAGTTCGCAAACGTATGGGTGCGCAAAAAAGGTAGCATTTGTCGGGGGTGGGACAAATGCGATCTTTTTTTTGCTGGAAAAGGCCTTAGGAAAGGTCGTAGAGCTTCGAAAATGTTTCCATACTAGGGAATCGTATGCGTAGATTCCGACTTTCGACAAATCAAAGCAAATCAGACCTCGCTGACGCATTAAATTTGAGCTAAAAGGCAAAAACTACGCAACTTAACGCTTTTCCGCAGTTTTTGCCTTTTAGCCCAAATCTGACGTGTCTGCGAGGTGTGATTTGTCGAAATTCGGAATCTACGCATACGATACCCTTCTATGAAAACATTTTTGAAGCTCTACGACCTTTCCTAAGGCCTTTTCCAGCAAAAAAAAGGTGCGCAAATGTCCAGGTGCGCAAAAAAAAAGGTCGCATTTGTCCCACTCTCAAAATTATTGCAAAAAAATTGGCGCGAAAAAATCACGCGCGCCGACTTATTTAAAGATATTCAGCCGTTTAACTGATTTGGTGGGAAATTCCCTTCACAAGTAAAGATATTCAATTTACTCGACGTGTAAAGAGGATTACTCGTAGTTAGTCCACCGAAAACGTCGATTAATCGAGTAAAAATTACTCATGTAAATTTTACTCGAGTAATTACTTGCAAGGAACACACTCTAATCTAGAGCCTGTAGACAAAAACAATCGACAAAGGCCTTTGTTCACTATTAGCTTGTAACAGTGAAACTAAAAGGACACAAAAAACGGCTCTAGATTAGAGTATTGAGTCTAGATTGGGTATTCAGTCCAGTTTAGCTAGATTACGGTATTCAGTCTAGATCAGCTAGATTACGATATTTAGTCTAGATTACGGTATTTAGCCTAGAATAGGGTATTCAGTCTAGATTGGGTATTCAGTCTAGATCAACTAGATTACGGTATTTAGTCTAGATTTGTGTATTCTTTTTTGTATCTTATTTAAAAGAGCTGCCACATTGTCTAAAGTCTTTTTAATCGCCTGGAAATAGCCCAAAAATCAATTCTCTCTGAGAAACAGTAATTTTACAATAACTTTTTGAACTTTAAAACGCTGAAAACCATATGGCAATTAAAAATCCCATTTTGTTTTTATTAGGAAAAGAAAGTCTTTTGAAGTTTAGACATTGAAATAGACAGCTCTTTTAACATTGTATCTTGATTTCTACGCTTACTCAAATTCACTCATAACCAACCTTCAGCCGCATCAAAATTCTCCGATAAATGATCACAATTTGACACTTGCACAGCAATGACTAAATAGATTTTTGCGATATATTTTGGGTTCGACTCACCAAATATTCCGATTGACAACCATTTCCCAATGATTTTCATGAATACCGAAAAGAAAGCAAAATAATAAAAGAATTTTTCGATTGTTTTCCTAAAGATTGGCAGAATAGAAAGAATTGGATTAGAAAATCACAAAAAATGTCAAATAATCGAGTCAAAAAGGGAAAGAACCACTTGAGAAACTTTGGAATCCTGAAATCGAAACATTGAGAGAATTTTTTGAAAAAGGCAAGGTCAAGAAAAGGAAAAGGTTATAAGATAGTTTTCAGAAATGAAATGAAAGCGAAATTCTTGAAATTTGTTGAAGTCTTGCGACATTGGGCCGAAAATGCAAAAGTTTCAAATGTAAATTAGAGAAGGTAACCGTTTGACTACAGTTCAGGATTGGCTGTAGCTTCACAGCTACAGCCAAATGTCTTTCTAAACCCACAAATTCCCTAAATGCAAAGCTTGGATATAGATTTATTATAAAAACTCGAAAAAAACAATATGAATTTCATAGATTGTAATCAGATCTTTTTGAAAGCTAATGAAAATGAGTGAGAAAAGTGAACGGTTGGTGCCGCTTGTGTTGTCTTTTACTCTAAAAAAGAATAGACATGAAAAAGAGAAAGGAAAAGAGAGTTTTACGTGTTTTGTCTCTTTGCCTTTCGAAAACTCAAAAAGAAAATTTTGTCTCATTCATTTCAGAAAAAGAAAAGAGAGATTTGGATGTGAGGAGGGGTAAAGATTGAGTGTTCTCCTCCTTTTTCCTCTTCTCTTTTTTCTTTTTCAACTTATCCCATGTTTTTCCTTGTGCGTACATTACAAGTTTGAGAACATTTTATTGTCTCGACGGGTTTTTTTCTCTCTTCCCTTGAAAATCCATTGTTTTCACAAAGAAAACATTTTTTAGAGCGCTTTTTGGGAGTCGTTTATCTTGTGATAGTTCTTTTACCGATTCAATCGGTAAAAAAAATTCAATTGGTGGAAGAATTCAATTAAAGTATCGATTTAAAACAGTTGCAGAATAAAAAGGATATTTGATTATGGTGACTACAGTCGAACTTCTCTATAACGATATCGAAGGGACCAAAAATTTCTATAAAACGATTCTAAAACGCGCGCCACATTTTCTGCGTAGCTGCCCTATGCGGGCAACAATTGCACCTACCGTAAATACTGTAATAGTCCCCACCGCCCTCGTACAGTCGCGTAGTCGCAAAAGTTTTTTAGTATTTCATTTTTTCAAAGCACCCGTACTTTCAAAAAATGCGTCTTTGGTATGAAAAAAATAGCTGAAATCCAGGGCTATTTTTTGATACCTAAGCGTGCATTGTAGCATAAACCAGTGTCGAGAAAACCTCGTTCAAAGCTAGACTACGCAACACTCTGCACCATCATTATGGGGGTGGGGCACTATTACAGTATTTACGGTAATTGGGCAGTACGCAGAAATTAGGGGCACCTTTTAGAATTTCAAAATCGTTATATAGAAGGTCGTTATAGAGAAGTTCCACTGTATTGCAATGATACTAAAACGCGGGTGATTGTACGAAACTAGCGTTTTCATTATGGTAACTTTCTAAAATAAGCGTCTTTTAGAAAATGACACATTTCAACGAAAAAATCAAGGATAATCAACGAACAACACCAATCAACAATTCATGAGAAAGCGTTAAATTTGTTAAAGGCAACAACGTTAAAACGGAAATTGTGCTAGCGAAATTCGCGCAACAATTGAAAAACGAAAATTGAGCAACCAAACTTGAGGCGAAATTTGCGCAAACGAAACGCAAATTGCGCAATTTACAAGCTTTATAATAAGAATAGCCATAGTTCAGCAACAATAATCAAACTTGCGCAAATTCAAACTAAACAAGACAAATAATTTTAGAGAAAGTAGAAAGTGAAATGTTGTCGCAAATTCTCGAACCGTTTTATCCAAAAATTTCTGCAACCATGAGAGATTATCTCATTTTAGATCAAGCTCTATAAAATGTATAAAAACTCTCGTAACATCCAATGGATTTCGAAAATTTTAATACCAAGAAAATTTCTATTGTTTCGAAAAGCATAAAAACACTCAATCTTTTCGAAACCTTAAACCCATCGCTCAAGAAAGAATGAGAGAATGTGCGAGAGTTTATTAAACCAAAATACATTTGCATAATTGTCTTATGCAAATGTATTTTGGCTTAAGCCCTAAATTTGCATTTATAAGTTAAATAAATAGATTTCTGGAGGATGAGAAAATCATTGTATTTTCTACTCGGCTCTCATCTTCTCTGTGGAAGTCAAAACAACGATGGTTTTCGGCTGCTGTACAAAGAAGCGAAAGCAATCCCGCGTGGGTTTTTTTTTCGATTAAAGCTTTTTTTTCTTATAACTTGTAGCTTAACTAAACTTTTTTCTTTAAAAAAAAACTTTTCTTTAAAACTTGAAAGTTAAATTTATTTAGTTTTGCTGGTGCGATCTTTTTAAGAGTTTATCAAACGGCTTTTTCTTACTATCACGTGTTTTTGTATAATTTACTAGCTCTTTAGCAAAGTAAATAGTGCTTTGTAGATATTAAGTTTGTATTTTTGTATTTTGTAGTAAGCTTTGTAGATATTAAGTTTGTATATTCGTTAAATAAATCCAATTTGTCAGCTTTTCAATATCAAACTTTTGTTTAGAACTTGACCAAGAGCAGTAAGTCTGCCGCTCGTTCAAATGTTCAAGCTAACTCCTTTAAAAAAACAATCATCAAGGTAGGTATTGTTTTTTGATTGTAAGAATTATTTCAATTACTATATTCTTCATGACTCTTTAGTCAACAACTCCGGCTAAAAGTAGAGGTGGATCTGCAAGTGGACCTCGTCAAGCACAACCAGCAAAAGGTCAACAAAAGGTCAAGTGGGTTTACTTCTTTTAGGTATATATTAAACTTTCAATTATTGCTTAGTTTCCTCAAAAAGCCTTCATCCACAAAAAGTGCCACTGCCAAGGCCTCTGCTGCAAAAGGAAAATTTGAAGTGAAAGATCCAAAGGCTACTAAAAAACAAGTTAATTTTTGATTATAAATTATTGTATTTCTTTTTCTCGTTAGGATTCCTCCATTAAGAAGTCATCCTCTGCATCAAGCAAGAGCAAAAAACCATCTTCTACTTTAAAACAAACTTCTGTCTTTGAAAAGCCTCCCGCTCCAGCAAAAGCTCCAGCCTCACCCAAAAAGACACCGGTTTGAATTATTTTGTCTTTTTTAAAAAGTAAATTTTTTGTTTAGGATGAAAAGGCTAAAGCGGGCAAATCACCCAAACGATCCGAAAGGGAAAAGGAGAAAACGAAGACGGAAAAGGGAATTCCACCGCCAGGAAGTACTGTTGATTCATCTCTTTTGCCCGTAAGTTTGCTTTTGAATACACTTTATGGATCGATTGAACGATGTATTTATTATTTTAGTTTGTTGACAAGATCGAATCAACCGGAAGGGCCAATGAGCCAACGAAAGCCGATCCATCTCCCCATCAAGCACCTCCATTTGTTTACGCTTCAATCGCTGATCCAAGACATCCGCAACAACAATTGGTAATTTGGAATTTGAATCGCTTCTCCAATCCTTCTTTGCTATAGATTGTCTCTTCTTTTGTGACTGGCGGTCGTCGTGTGAAGCGTTGGACGTATGCTGATAGTTATCCAGTCGGTCAAATGCCTCCTCCAAGTCTTGGAGCTATGCTTGCTGCTAGACCCGCTTGGTGAGTTGCTTTTAGAATTTAAATCTATGTCTGCATATCCATTTTATTTTTTTTGTTTTAGTTCTCGTGAAGACTGTGGATTGACGGTGATGGAGCCAGTTGGAATGATGCAGAATAACGTACCATCGGTTTTCTCGAAAAGTCGACAGAAAGTGAAGAAAGGCGGAGAGCAGATTGAAAAGAAGAACAAGAAAGAGATGAGCAACAGCGCGCAGAAAAATAGGAAATCTGATGGACCAGCTCGTGAACCACAGTGAGTTGTTTATCATTATGATTATTTATTAACTTTGGCGTCACAGTGAATTGTCTTGTGACGCTTCACTTACATACAGTCGAACAGCAAATGAGCGAACGTCATCGTCAATGACTAATGTTAGCGAAAAGGTGAGTTAAAACTTAGAACATCAATTGTTTAATTTGTGTTTAGGACGTTGCTGAGCGTCGTTTGAGTGAAGAAGCGGTGAGGAAGAAGTTGCTGGAAAGTGCCCAATTGCTTCAGGTAGAGATTTTGAAGCGAAATAGTTACTGTTTTCGTTTATAGCAAGCAATCTCGAAGATGAATGAAGTGCGCTATCGCGAAAAGGACGATTCACTCTATGAGACTTCTCTCTACAAAGTGCAGAAATGCGAGAAAAGGGTTGGTTGTTGCTTTGAGCTGATATTTTCAGAATATAAATATTATTTAGGTTGATGGAATTGCTCGTGGTCTTTCAGCTGTGGATCTTCATGAATCAAAGACCAATCAACAAAAGAAAAGAAAGCCTGGATATTGAGGGGATTCACATTACATTTCATTCTACACTTCTCGATTGATTGAATGAATGATTTCAATAATGAATTTGTCCTCTTTTTCGTTGCAAATCGTGTCTTGTGAGTTGTTTGGGCGTGTACTTGAATAAACGGGTTGTAAAAATGAAGTGTTGCTTTATTTTTTTTCTAGAGTTTTGGTTTTTAGTTACGATTGTTTTTGTTGTTTTTTTTACAAATGGTAGTTTGTATGTATTGATCTGAATATCAAATTCCTATAGGCATACTGAAGGTAAAGAAATGGAAAGTTTGGTTTGTACTGTTTATGGGGAGTGGGACAAATACGGACCTTTTTTTTTGCGCACCCGGACATTTGCGCACCTTTTTTTCCGCACCGTGCCCATTAGCGCACCTTTTTTCGGGTTTTAAAAAAGCTCTAAAAAGCTAATATTAACCAATTTCTATTCCAAAAGTTGTTTTTCTAGGTAATTTTAGGGCGTAGAATCGAAATTTTGACATATCAGAGCTTGTGGAAGCATATGAAACATATCCACACGCTCTGTTATGTCAAAATTTGAATTCGACACCCTCAAATTACCTAGAAAAACAACATTTGGAATAGAAATTGGTTAATATTAGCTTTTTTAAAACACGAAAAAAGGTGCGCTAATGGGCAAGGTGCGGAAAAAAAGGTGCGCAAATGTCCGGGTGCGCAAAAAAAAGGTCGCATTTGTCCCACTCCCCTGTTTATGTGATACTAGACTTCACTGATCGATATTTCAACGACACTTGTTTTACTGACGTAAACTAAACTAATTCTGTTAATTATGTTAATTAACTGTCACGAATTTGCATTTAACCTAAAAATCAATACAATACAATTAATCTACAATTATTTAAGAACAATCATGATCTTTTTTAAGAAGCCAGACCATTCGGGTCGAAGTGGTCGTAGAAATTCGCGTTCAAAAGATAATAAAGCAAAGGAATTTGAGAAGAAAGGACTGGAAATGGTTGGAATTTTCTTTAAATATTGTTGTTAAATGTGCTTTAAGCCGAAAACTTATCCCGTTCATTCGCCGACTGTTACAACACCGATAACATTCGGAAGTTAATGTTCTTTTCATTTAAATTTTAAACTTTCTAGCAACTTGCCGTCAGCAATACTCAATCAAACAGTCCCAAGGTTTGAATTGCTCATTTTTTGCGTAATATATTCAAGTTTTTAGGTAGTTCCAATTGATGACAAAAAGAAATGGGGAAAAAGAAGGATCAATTCCGCCAATGGTGAAACAAGATAAACCAACCATTCCACAACTAAAATCCACAAATCACACCAATTTTGAAGGTGTGATTTGTGGATTTTGAAGGGGTAAAAAAATTATTTTGACACTTGTTTCTTTTTAGGTGGATGCGCCAATAAATCCCGTTCAGCTCAAAGAAAAGGAACAACCGCTGAAATGGAAGACTGAAGCTGCGGAAAAGGAGGTACGATTCGATTCATTTTCACTATTTAATCGTTATTATTTAGGCTGAAAAAGGATGGATTGAATGATGGACACTACGAGAATCTCTGATGAACATAGGTAAAATTCGCCGATTAAAATGGAAAATGGATTACTTTTTCTTCGCTTCTTGATCTCGTCAATAATTGAAATCCATTCTTCTTTTTTTGTTATCAAAATACACTACCAGTATATGCCATTTCTCTTTTCTATTTTCCTTGGATCTCTCGTGATTTGTCTCGATTTTCTTTGTGTGTCTTACCTTCTGGCGAACGTTTATTTGGTGTGCATGTGGCAATGTGCAATAAAATGTGCATGTGGCATTTGAATAAATGAAATGTTAAGTGCAACAATTTTTTTTTCGCAAAGCTCGATGGGATTTTGCTGTAAAAAGTACAACTTTTTTTCCTTTTAATTTAAAATGCATAGATGAGACTTGTTGGGGGATAAGGAAAGACAATTTTTGGTGAGAATGACCCCCTTGGTGGATATCTTTCCCTTTTCGAATGGTCTCCTTTCACACAAAAGCTTACATGCATTCATTAATCGAGGTCCATCCCTCTCTTTTTTTTCTTCTTTCAAAAGACTCCATTTTTCAGAATTCCTCTAAATATTTTTTCTTTTTAGATCAATCATGATTTTGCTGTATTTTCTAATCGAAACACTACGAGCCAGCAATCCGGGTAAAATTGGAAGAAAATTTCTTGATTGTTTGGGAATTTTGAAGGAAAAAGGTGTTTTCTGGAGAATTTTGAAAGTTGAGGCTAATCTTGAAAAACAAATTCACACTAAAGATTCGAGCTAGCTAAATAAAATATTTGAATACCTTGATGTTTGAATTTAATCACTACACAATTAGATAAACTTTAGAAGATCGTTGTTTGGAAACAATCGACCCGGGACCGTGCCAAGTTTATCAAGTTTGTTTTCGAGTGAAATTCTAAAATTGAATGAATGAAAAACTTACAAAACTTTAATAGAAAACTTTTACGGTTACCAATACGGTTCCAATACGGTTCCTATTTTCTCAGATGAAATGGTTTTGGGATGAGAGTGACGGACAGTGCAAAGAATTCACGTATGGAGGATGTCTCGGCACTAAAAATAGGTTTGGGTTTTGGATTTGGATACAATTAGACCATCTTTTGAAAAATTTTGTTTTCAGATTCAACACGAAACAGGAATGCATCAAGGTGTGCCGATACAAATTGTTCAATCCCGCTGCTGTGCCTGGTTGGGTTTAGCATAAAGTTTTTAAAGATTAGAGCTAGCTACATAAAGTTTTTAAAGATTAAGAGCTAGCTACATAAAGTTTTTAAAGATTAGAGCTAGCTACATAAAATATTTTAATACCTTAATGTTTGAATATCATTTGAAAAGAATATGTTTTTAAATGATTTCATTTTTCTCAGATCTTTGTCTTCTCGAGGTCGATCATGGACATTGCTCGGATGAACGAAATGGACAGTGGTGGTTGGTGAAACGTAAAGTTTGACTCTCGCATTTTGCTTCCTATATCCGTAATACATGAATCATGTTTTCAAGAATTCTCTGAAAGTCTTTAATATTTAGATTACAGGTATTGGTTCAATTCGGATTCGGGTGAATGCGAGAAATTCTTCTACTATGGATGCGGGGGAAATGACAATAAATTCTACTCGATTCATTTATGCCGAAAAGTTTGCGGAGAACGATTATCCCCACAAATTGGTTTATTTCAGAAAAGAGGAGAACTTATTTAAAATGATAATTATATAAAATATGCATTTAAGAAATATTTCAGCTTGTGATCACTGTGATTTGAGGACATCGTATTGCAAGGGAAATTCGAAATACAATTACACATGCGAGTGTCGAACGGGATTTCAGAGAAACACACATGGAGAATGCATTGGTGAGAAGGAGAAAATAGTGATAACAAATAGAATTACAATAAAACAGTTATTCAGTACCTATACTTAGACAATACTAGACAATACTAGACAATACTAGACAATACTACACAAAGCCGGTCGTGTATTATTTGAGCACAAAGCCTGACCCTTATTCTGACCCTTAAGAAGTGTTTATTCGATAATCTTTATTCAGATATCGATGAATGTCGAGGTTTCACAGCGGTTTGCGATAAAAATGCCTGGTGCACGAATACGGTTGGAGGATATCAAGTAGGAGAGATTGGGAAATGATTTCATTGCTAAAGTTGCTACAGGGTGCGGCAGAATTATAGGTGCATGACATAAAGACGGAAAATGAGCCTTCGCTCTTGATTTTGCACTCGAATTTATGTTTTTGTTGTTATTTTATGATTGAATTTGTATTTGTAAATTATAATTTTTTATAACTTAGAGTTTCAGGCTATGGTTCGCGCTTCCCCGCATCGACAATTGATCGTGGAACTTCATCGGAAGGGCGAATCGGCGACCGTGATCGGAAGAAAGTTGGGAGTGCATCGAAACGTTGTTAACCGAGCCATTCAACGCTACAACGAGTTGGGATCAATGTCTGATCGGCCGCGAGGAGGTGTTCGTCCATCTGTGGTGACGAAAGGCAACATCAAGAAGGTCAGGGATCGCCTGCGAAAGAAGCCCAATCAGTCCGCTCGAAGAATTGCCAAACATATGGGTGTATCCGATCGATCAATCCGTCGAATTATCAAGGACAAGCTCAAGTTCAAGCCCTACAAGAAGAACAAATCCGCTCTGCTTTCGGCAGACGCCAAATTGAAGAGAAAAGATCGATGTGAAAGCCTTCGTCTTCGTTTCAACGGAATCGACCACAGGAACATTTTGTCCACCGATGAGAAAATTTTTACGATTGAAGGAATTCTGAACAAGCAGAACGATCGAGTTTGGTCGAAAACTCAACCAAATGTTACCGTCGGTCGCAGCGGCCACCCAGCTTCAGTCATGGTTTTTGGCGGTGTGACGGCTTCCGGCAAGACACCACTGATTTTTGTGCCACAAGGAGTCAAAGTTAATGCGAACACGTACTTGGATATGCTAAAGAAAGAACTTGTTCCCTGGGCTCAAAATCACTTCCAAAATCGCATCTGGACCTTCCAGCAAGATGGTGCTCCCGCTCACAAAGCCAAGATTGTTCAGGATTTCTGCAAAGCGACTTTTCCCGACTTCATTGCATTCGACGAGTGGCCCCCAAGCTCCCCAGACCTCAATCCATTGGATTTCTCGGTCTGGTCTGTTCTTGAAGCCGAGGCCTGTCAGAAACCTCACAAAAACCTCGAAAGTTTGAAGAAATCTCTCTTGAAAGCCTGGGAGGGTCTGGACGCCGCCTACTTGGTCGCCACGGTCGACGCCTTTCCCAAGCGACTCAAGTCTTGCATCGACGCCAAAGGAGGAAGATTCGAATATGATCAATAAAAGTTGTTAATTTAAGTTCAATAAATATGTTAAAACTGTTTTTGTGGCAAATTTTTCGTTTTTTGGTCATATTCCAATGGAACTTCTCTGCACCTATAATTCTGCCGCACCCTGTATAATCTGATATTCAGTGCGAGTGCATGGCCGCGTATCGAGGAGATGGAAAAACGTGCACATATGTGGGATTGGGTGAGGAATTTTTGCATTTTAAACTCTTCAAAACAATTGATTCCAGTTGTGCGATTGAATTTTTGGATATATGCAAATTTTAAGGAGCTAATTTTGCGGGTATCTATGTCGTAGCCGATTGTCATCGAAAGACTTTCGGCTAGCCGATTGTGCTCGGAATTTTATCTGTAAAGTCACAACAAAAATGAAATGCTAAGTACGATTAGAGGTGCTGAATAGAGTTGCTATATTGAGTTGAGCTTCTACTGCAATCACGAACTGAGAGCTTCTCCTTGTTTGTATCGGAGATTCAATCGTTTGATTAAATTCCTTTCTTCACTAGTCTTTCTCGATTTCTCGTCTTCATCCTTGTATCTTGATAGAATCTCGACCATTTCCTTGTGTTTTTTCAGCCGTTGGGATATAAATCAATTTCCTCGAACATGGAAATTGAGTAAATCACTCGAGAAAGCGCTCTTCTATTTCTAAATTTTAAAAATTGATTATTGAAATGATAAGAAAACAAAAAAAAAGATGAAACAAACAATAAAAAATGGTGAAGATGATGATCTAATTAACTAGGAAATAACTACCGTAAATACTGTAATTGGACCCCATCCCCCTCGTACAGTCGTGTAGTCGCAAAAGTTTTTTAGTATTTCATTTTTTGCAAAGCACCCGTACTTTCAAAAAATGCGCTTTTGGTATCAAAAAATAGCCCTGAATTTCAGCTATTTTTTGACACCTAAGCGCGCATTGTAGCTTAAACCAGTGTCGAGAGAAACGCGTCCAAAGCTAGACTACGCAACGCTCCGCATCGTCCTCATGGGGGTGGGGTACTATTACAGTATTTACGGTAAGTAGTCTTAATTTATTAAATTAACATGGTAGATAAAAGATAGAAGTTAATAGGAATACGAAAATTTAGCACAGAATTTACATACGAATCTAAGTTTTGTTGTGACTTTACAGATAAAATTTTGAGCATAATATTTCGAGCACAATCGGTGACGACAGATAGAGATTGGGTGACGAAATAGGGGAATAGGGGAAAAATTGTTGACGAGAGGTTTTCGATAAGGCATTTTGACATTAGAAATTGGTAAAATTACAGAGATAGTTGACTTTTTTTTATGAAATTTCATTCGTGGCTAATCCCGATTTCTCGCAACAGGTCGATCAACGTTGAATTGTGACGAATGCTCTCCAAATGCCACTTGTACATCGGGTGTTTGTCAATGTAAAAAAGGATTTCAAGGAGATGGCTTCAATTGCACAGGTTTATTTAACGAATTTCGGGAGATTTGTTTAAACTTACAAGGAAATATCAACTAGGTGGGGGCTAATAGTTAAAAATAAACATTTTTATGAGAAATAGTTTAAAATACGGAGAACAATTAACTTTGCAAATCCAAAAAAAGCAAAAGAAAAAGGTAGAATAGCGGACTCGAACTAGAGAACTCGAGCCAGCCTTTGCCTTGTCCTCTAACCCACTGCCACTAGGCCACCACTGCTTCTTAGAAACTCTGGGATATCTGCTTATTAAACTCGGGACTTATTATTTTTGAAATCCTATAAAAAGCTTTTCACACTTATAACTTTTGACCGAGTGCTCCATATCAGAAACGAAAAGCAGATTCGGAATCAGCGTTGAATTCTGCGTCGAATAACTCGTGGCACATGTCATTTGGCCACTACACCCAGTTGATATTCCCTTGTTAGCTTATCAGAATGCATTCTATTGATTTCAGATGTGAACGAATGCCTCCGATCACCGTATGTTTGTGATAAAAACGCGGAATGTCACAATACGGATGGAGGGTTTATGTGTGAATGTTTAGAGGGATACGCGGGAAATGGATACAATTGTACGAAAGAGAAAAGTTGGTGGGATTGATTGAATGTGTTGCAATTGTTCTGGAATCAATTTCCAAGGGCAGCCATTGCCGTAAGCTTGGCGCAGAGTACTGTAATAGTTACAAGCTTTAGAATTCCAGGAATATAACTGGAAAATGGTAATGTTACGATGCTCAAAATTATTTTAGACTCATGTCTCGACAAATTCGACCGTGGCTACGAGACGACTTGTGGAGGGGAAAATTGGAGAGAGAATTATTATTTTGATCATCAAGCAAGAAGGTTTCATTTGTGTATTCAATATGCTCAAAAAAACAAATCAAAGTAGCTTTTGTTTTCTTTTTCTTTTACCATTCGCAAGATGTTACTTCGCTTAGAAGCTTCAAGTACAGGGTGGCTAATAAGTATTGTCGCGTTCTTGAACGCGTGTTACTTCTCGAGGTTAGTTCCAAATCTTATGAGTAACATACCAAAATGTTGCTAAGAGTCTAGAGAAACTAAATTTATGCATAGATTTTTGGGACAATGACTATAAAAGATTTTATTGCGATTCTTGTGCTTTTCAAAAAAGGCATTGCCCGCTGCTCGTTTTTTAAAAGTTTCGTGCAAAATATTTTTGTGAAGAAGATCAAACTCTTTGTGAGTTTGATCTTCTTCACAGTAAAAATACTTAAAATTTTGGTACCAACTTTTTTCAAGTTAAAACCGAGTGTGTAAAGTCATATTTGGCTGGCTTTTAGACACCTCTTTTTTGCTTTTTTTAAGAGAGAGCCACAAACAACGGGGTAGGCTAATTTCCGCAATTTTTTTTGCGCAACAAACAGGGCCATTTGTGCAACTGGGTCGTTTGCGCAACTCGCCATAACTTTCTTCTAAGTGGACTAATCTTTATGGTTTTGGTGTCAATAAGTGCAACAAAATGATTTCCCAGTTGCGACCCAGTTAAACTTTAAAAAAACGAGCAGCGGGCAGCGCCTTTTTTGAAAAGCACAAGAATCGCAACAAAATCTTTTATAGTCATTGTTCCAAAAATCTATGCATAAATTTAAATTCTCTAGACTCTTAGCAACATTTTGGTATGTTACTGTTATGCTAAGATTTGGAACTAATCTCGAGGAGTAATACGTGTTCAAGCAAGCGACAATACTGATTAGCCACCTTGTACTTTAGCGCTTGACTTACCGGATGGCTCATTGCTTAGAGCATCTGCCAAAAAAGGTTGAGAGTCGAGGGAAAGCAAAAAGGCCGAAGGTTCAATCCCATCTCCGGAAATCTTTCTTTGTCATTCCTTACTTTACTCTATTACTAACGGTGTCTAGATCGCAATTTGATGAGGTTTTCTTATTAGATTAAATTTGAACTTCTCAATACATATTTCCTATCCAAATCCCATCTTTTTCTTGTTTAGATGTGCTCTTTTTTGGTATGATGGATGTGAGGGAAGATCGAGAAATATTTTCTCTCATCTTCGAACATGCGAACAATTGTGTGAAGAAACGAATGTACTCACGAGAGCTGGTTGGTTTTTTTTGAAAGACATAAGAAAATAATTTTGCCTAGTATTGTAAAGTCGTTGAAATTTTTCTCTCAATTTTTCTCTCAATGTCAGACACAACGTCTATGCCTCTTTGATACGTCTATGCCTTAAAGAAATCCAAATTTGGCCTCAAATTTTGGGAGAAATTCGATAAAGATACGCACATATGTAAATTTGATTTGATATTTTGGGATTTTGGGGAAATCCTTTTTCAGAAAGGAAACTCCTCGGCAAAGAGCACAGAACAAAGCTACCCTATTCTGACCGATTTGAACCGATGCATAGTTTACATTAGTCAAACTTAAGTCTTAATTGTTGATAAATTTACAACAGTTTACTAATTTACTAGTAAATCTGAATTTCAATAACTAAACTGAGTTTGAGAGGCAAATCTTCGCTTTTACCCGAAATCCCCTTGACCTTAGCTTCCGACCCATTGAACTTTTCCGCCTTCGCCGCTTTCTCAAAATACAAAGTTTTTCAAAATATTTCTAGTGCTAAAAGATACGTATTTCCTCCACGTTATTCTGAGAAAATTAATTTTCATTAATTTCAGAAAAGAGAAATCCTTTTTTGAAGTACCCCTGGCGACCTTTGATCTCGCCGCCAAATCCGGTTTTACCAACTTTTCTCAAAAATGGATTGAGATTTTTCAAATATGATTTAACAGGCCAAACCACCGTAGTCGATTACATATTGTCTCAAAAAATCAGACCGAAATTCCCACTTGGTCTCGAGTTATGAAGTGATAAGACAAACACACACACACACATAACTTTGCGTCTTTTAATAGGTAAAATATAACGGCCAGATCCTTATATTTCAAGCATCTCCGGCCTTTAGAAAGTTCGGGTTCAGATTTGAGGAGTCGGAGAGTCGATAGTTCATGTTCGTAGAGTTCAGGGTTCGGGTTCTGTCCCCACTCAGTTTTCATCAAATTCTAGTAGCTCATGGAAATTTTTCTTGAAATCCACTCAAACTTTGTAGGTTTTCTTGCTGAAACTTATGTCTAGTCTAGCCAGAATTTTAACCCACTCCAGTGCCCGGCTTAAACGAACTTTGTAGCAGAGATACAGTCAAAATTGAGGCAAAAATTGAATCTAGGGATTTGTAGCGCATAGGGCTGTCAAAAATAACAAAACCGGGTCAGTTGCTCAAAGCTCCTTTCCCTTTACCAAAAGGAAACACCTATTTATCGGAGAGGTATGCCAGAAAGCGAGTGATTACGCGACCGCACAAAGAACACCTCGGCAGCCATTTAGGGATTTTTCTTTTGCTTTGTAGATGGTACAAAACGAAGGTATTTAGCTGGAAATTTGTACCCGAGTGTTTACGGGGTGGGCGAATCCATTGATGCTATTCATTTTATTTAGTCTACAAATCTTTTCTTGGGTTTTATTTATGTTTTCGATGTCGTTAGGCTTTTCTAGTCTGGTACTTTGTTGAAAGTACTCTAGAGTCTTCTAGGTCTGAATTATTAGGTTGTTCGGATATAAGCGAGCGTTTGCACTGCTTAACTCGTGAGGAAGCCATTTCCCGCATCTGATCGCCTTTCCAATGGTGTGGAGATGCTCATCAATAGTAGAATTTGAACATAGAAACTGTTGAGCAAGTTCACGTGTCGTTTGACGTGGATCCGATTCGATTGCAGCCCTCAAAATATCGTTGTCTACCGTTCGAGGTCTTCAGGTCATGAGATCGACGAGAGTGTTCATCATTCTCGAGACTTTCAACACCATCCCGAAAGCGTTGGAACCAGGCTCGGCATCGGCTTTCGGACAATACATCATTTCCAAATTCTTTGACCAAATCTCGATGGGATTCCGCGTCTGTTTTGTCCAGTTTGAAGTCGTAAAGTAGGCAGATGCGAACTCGTTCGAAGTAGGTAAAGTAGGCCGACGTTCGAAGTCGGTTATCTAAAGCAAGAAAAAAGATGTTAAAAATAAGAAATTATCCGTTTAAAAAGATTTCAAATATGCACAAGATAACGTACTTTTAAATACAGAAAGACATGTTTTCAAATACGGTTCCTATACGGTTCCAATACGGTTCCTATACGGTTTTTATTTTGATCTAATACGGTTCCAATACGGTTCCTATACGGTTCCAATACGGTAAAGTAGGCCGACGTTCGAAGTCGATCATCTAAAGCAAGAAAAAATATGTTAAAAATAAGAAATTATCCGTTTAAAAAGATTTCAAATATGCACAAGATAACGTACTTTTAAATACAGAAAGACATGTTTTAAAAGCTTTCCCTCACAACAATAAGCTTAGCAACGCTTGTCTAGATCCGAACAGCCTAATAGTTCAAGATTTAGTGATACGAGAGTTGTTTTTGTTCAAAAACAGTCGCTTTTACGGTTCTATTGGAATAAGTAGGTATTATTTAAGTAAACATTTAAATCTTACAGTTTAGCAGATTGAAACGGTTAACAGAGTAGCTTCATTCTTGAAAAGTCATTTCTTCTTTTATATTACTTTTTATTTCTTTGCCAGTTGAGTGGTGAGTGTATTTGTTTCTTCCCAAAAATCTCCACCCACTCACTTTGTTGTGAGTGAGTGCGAGGAGAGGTTGTTCTCAGTCCCGCATCCTTTTTAGTCTCTCCGTTGGAGGAATTGGTTGCTTTTTTCCGTGTCCTTATTTCCCCCACCAAATAGCGGTTGGCCAGGCGGGGACAAATCCACAATTCCCGGGAGATTTCTCCCCTTTTTCTTCCCCAACAAACTCTTTTTTCAAAAAGCATTGATTTGTCCTCTTCTCCACTTCGTGCTCCCTTCTTTGAATCTCTCTTTTTATATTTTCTCCCTAAAATTGGTCCTTTCTTTTCCTTTTCCTACCCACCCTCATTCTTTTTTTAGTTGTCTGGCTTTGGATCTTAGCTTTGGACCCTCTTGGATTTTATTTTCAATTTTGCAAGTTGACTTTTTTTTCTGGGCTTGCTAAAGTCAATTTACTTTTCTTGATACTTGCTTGATGAACTTAAAGCATAAATCTTTGATGATTATAGTTTAAATCTTACAGATTTAGATTCTAAAGCTTAACTTTCGTCTAATGTTTAGATAGATGAAAGATTTTAAACAACAACAACTAGTTAACAACAACAACTAGTTAACAACAACAACTAGTTAACAACAACAACTACGACAACAACTACAACAACAACTAGTTAACAACAACAACAACTACCGTATTTCTTCGAATAGAAGACCGGGTAAAGTGTATCATCGCGTACTCCTGCGTAGCAGCCCTTTTTAAAATTTCTTTTCTGCATAAAAGCTTTCAATGAAGTGCTATAGGGCTGGAAAATGGCTCAAAAATCTGTTAGCTCATGGGAAATTTTAAAAAGGGCTGCTACGCAGGAGTACGCGATGATACACTTTACCCGGTCTTCTATTCGAAGAAATACGGTAGTTAACAACAACAACTAGTTAACAACAACAGCTAGTTAACAACAACAACTAGTTAACAACAACAATTAGTTAACAACAACAATAACAACAATTAGTTAGCAACAACAACAACGATTAAAAGTCCATATTTTTTCGAAACTTACTCCTATCATTCTCATTTTCCTAACGATTTTTCATTGCCTAACAAATTTCAATACAGAATCCCTAGATCAAACAGCAATGATGGATCATATTCCGCCCTGAAACTCGTCTATTCTCAAAGATCCTCTCACCAAAAATGATCTCACTAATTTGATCATTTCCCTCATTTCATTGTTGTTAACGACAATCCTTTAAAGAGTTACCGATTGAGGGAAAAAATCGCGATGCGATGCGCGAAAAGCATCGTTTTTGGCTGAAAAGCCCCTATCGATATTCAGTTGAAAAGAAAACAAAGAAATTGATAAAAGTGAAAATTTTATTCATCATTTCATTCATTCAAACAATCGACGCAACTTATTCAGAGATTTGCTGGGACAAATTCGATATGAATTATCGAAATCAGTGTTTGAATGGTGGGTTTTTTATGTGGCATGTTGGTGTTTTATGTATTTTTGTCCTATTTTTGTTCATTTACAGACTCTAGTTGCGATTTTTTGTCACTTTTAGAAAATTTGGCGTATGAAACACGGCAATTTTCTCGTTTCACCCTTTGGTCCTCTTTTTTTTACTGACAATGAAACGGAAATCGAAAATTTGCAAGAAAGAATTGAATGGTTTAGTTTATAGAAAAGAAAATATCAAAGTTCATTGAGCATTGAGTAAATCGGATGACTTCATAAATGATTACGGCATCTAATTAAGCTAAATATTATAGTTTTATTTTTGGATATTCAATGCATTAGCTGAATATCTGTTTATCCCATATATCGGTTTGTAAACAACGGTTTATTCAACTCTCCACTATTTTTAAGAACTTTTTCTTGCGTAATCAATTGCGCTGAATCCATTGGAAGCATTTTTAAACAATTCTAAACAACTTTTAAGCCAATTTGCGCAACATTTTTGAGCCTTCAAGTGGTTCAAACTGGACTCAAAGGTGCGGGATTGAATTAAGAGGCTTAAAACTTCAGTAACTATTTGAGATAGTTGTTGTTGCTAAAGCTAAAACAGTTGCTAAAGCTTAAATAGATACGAAACTAAGAATCTACGGCATTAAAAACCCTAGGAGCAAAAATTAGTGCGCTCCGTCTCAATAGAGATGAATACCGTATTTTCCCTAATAGTAGGGCACCGCGCCCGGGCCGAGTTGATGACTATTTTACGGGTTTCAAGTTTTCACAGAGGCTCAACACTCTAATCCATCACAAGATCTCATCGTCAGCTACATTTTCCGACACCCACATCGATAGTTTCTGATAAGCAGTTTTCGAGATTTCGAGCAATTTAGGCGAAGCTTAGGGTGCCCTACTATTAGGGCAAAACACGGTACACACGGACCCCCGCCAAACTACTATAGCACCACGATGCATGTTTATTAGATTTCAAAAAGCACCTAAAATAACCTTAAAAGTAAAACCGAAATATTCTCCATTTTCAGGCCGTTGGGAGCCTCGTTTTTATTTCGATCACGCCTCATTGACGTGTCGACAATTTTGGTATGATGGATGTCGATCGGATAGGTCAGTGAAAAGACTTATTTGCCGATAAGTAAGTACGAGACGATAAGTAAGTAAGACTTTATTTGCTGAAGCTTACTTACTTATCGTTTAGACTGGCCGTTTTTCAAATATACGAATAATGAGCCTTTTTGAAGTGTTTGTAATATTCTTTTTATTTATAATATAGTTTAAAGCATGCTCTCTCGATTAAAAACACTTTTTTGATCGGGGAATCGTGCAAAGTTGGGGAAGGGCAGTATACCGCACGGGTACTCTAACCCTTTACGGTACCTTAATCCCTTAGAATTCCGCCATGGCAAAAAATAATTAACCAATAATCAACTAATAATCAAACTTATTAGTAAAAAAGGTTTAAGTTTATTACTTTTTTGATAGCATTTGATAAAATTTGTATAAAAACGGCTAGTGTAATCGATAAGTACCAAAAAAAACAATAACAAATCGTATCTGAGCAACAACTGTTTACAATATTTCAGTCGAAATTTGTTCGATGACATGCTCACATGCCAATGGCTTTGTGAGGCTCAGCCGATGTACAAATCGAGTGGGTTTTCAAGAAGAAAATATAGTAAATCTTGATGTTCTCTAAAAGTTCTATATTTCGCGGTTCTGAGACATTTTTCTTAAGCTTATCTTTGGAATCATATTTGGAATCAGATTCGAAATTTTGTGTCTCAAATCAACAAGCGGTTTTCTAACCGGACTTTAGCATTTGTAAGCCAGTCCAGAAGCTGATTCAAGCACTTTTTCTGGGGCCAGCTAAGGACAAACGGGCCAGAATCTGTCTTCTAACCTATTCCTGGTCCTGATATTTCAGTTTATGCTCAAAACAGCTCTGAGCAAGCAAACAGCTTTTGTAAGTTAGCGCTTGCAAATCACTACGTGGGCAAGCCTCGATTCAGAAAATCTAGTAATAAACTCCCTTTTCAGCTGATTCAAAATTCAATATCTAGTATTTTTTTTTCTTCTTAATTCAAGAATCTTCATGTTTTTTTTCCTTGTCGAGATCGGGGGAAACGATAAATTTTTTCCGCAGAAAAACGAGAGTTTAGAAAGGGAAAAGGGGACGAAGAACAAAATAGGGAAATAAAGGAAATCGGAAATTGATGGAGTGAAGGAAATTGAGAATTGGGCAGACAGAAAGACAGACAGAAAGACAGACAGACAAACAGACAGAAAGACAGACAGAAAGACAGACAGGCAGGCAGAAAGACAGACAGACAAGCAGACAGACAGACAACAGTTACAGTATACTTTTAAAAGATTTTTCATAGCTGAAACATCTCATTGAAGAAATTCTCCAATTTTAGAGTCATGTCTTGAAGATTTCGATCCTCGTTTCAAGGATTCGTGTATGGGTGGAAGATGGAGACAACAATGGTATTTCGATAAAGCTAATAAGGTTCGGGAAAACCTAGCAAAATTGAAAATCTACCTAAAAATATACACAATTTACTCAATATTCACTAACTAATGCACTCACAAATATCAACGGACTCGGAACTGGGATTCAAGAAAGAATTAGAAGAGATAACTAATTAGAAGAGATAAATTTCTTCACTTTCAGCAATGTGTCCCCTTTTGGTTCGATGGATGCAAAGGTGATGGAGGGAATATATTTGAAGATGAGCAATCATGCCTTGTCACTTGCGAACAACCTGCCAAAAAAGATCGTCAGTTTTAAAGGGAAAAGGGAAAAATAGAATTCCCTTGAAATTCATCAAAATTTTAGCCATCAAGCCATGGCACAAAGGGGAAAAGAAGAAAATGAAAGAGATCGTCAGTCCGAATCCCGTTTTCAGTGAGTGTTTTAACAGTTTTAATAGCTTTAAAATTGTTTTAATAGCTTTTCAGAAAAACCCATAAGAGATCTTTTTAAACAAGAAATTTCTAGAGCCCAACTCGAGTAATATCTGTGAAACGAATAATCCATGTCAAAACAAGGCCACTTGTCATTTCTCTCATCGAAAGAACTCATATCATTGTCGATGTACACAAGGATGGACAGGGAGAAATTGCACGGAACAAGCCGGTAGGATCATCTATTCAAAGTGTTTTCAAATTTCAGTCCTGTTCAAGTACAGTCAGTTCAAAGTCCTGAAACTCAATAGTTTCAAGACAATGCAATTTCGGATATCCTCAAGCTATTCTTGTTCTTTCAAATACCGTAAAAACTCTAATAGAAGCGGGAGTGGGACAAATGCGACCTTTTTTTGCGCACCCGGACATTTGCGCACCTTTTTTTTCCGCACTTAGCCCATTAGGGCACCTTTTTTCGCGTTTTAAAAAAGCTCTAAAGGCTAATATTAACCAATTTCTATTCCAAAAGTTGTTTTTCTAGGTAATTTGAGGGTGTCGAATTCAAATTTTGACATAACAGAGCGTGTGGAACCAATTTGAAAGACGGCTAGGTCAAATTACAGAAAATTGTTGATTTTTCTCTTTGTATAACTCCGTCCGTTCGCTTCCACGCTTCCACAAGCTCTGATATGCCAAAATTTGAATTCGACACCCTAAAATTACCTAGAAAAACAACTTTTGGAATAGAAATTGGTTAATATTAGCTTTTAGAGCTTTTTAAAACGCGAAAAAAGGTGCGCTAATGGGCAAGGTGCGGAAAAAAAGGTGCGCAAATGTCCGGGTGCGCAAAAAAAAAGGTCGCATTTGTCCCACTTCCAATAGAAGCGAATGGGCTTGAATTTTTCAACCCTCAAAAATCGGCCAGCCGAAAAAGTAGGTCAAATATGAATCGAAAATTTATTTTTTTGTAAAAATCACTTTACGTGGTAGCCGTTGGCCTAAAACGTACAAAAAAACATGCATTTAAAAGTGAAATAATTTTCTTATCCATGGAAAATTTCCTGTGATCCCCCACATAAAATTTTTTCAAAATGGTGTTATAAATTTTACTACCGACCCGAGATTATTAATTTTTATGCTCAGTTCTTTCTATAAAGGGATCGCATGATAGGACAAGACTTAATATTCAGGGGTGGGCTTCTAAAGTGCGTTTCAAGTCTTGCGTGGCACCCCCTTTTTTTGCGATCCCACAAAAACTATTTTAGCTAGCGTTCTGATTTCTTTTTTATTAGAAAGAGTGTAGCCGAAAACCCTAGAAAACACTCCATAAGGGCTAAGGTAACTTTCAAAAAAAAGTTTAAGAATAAAACGAACAAATTTTAACCGTTTTGGGTCTTGGGCTTGGGCCGTCTTGGGTCTTGGGCCGCATCTTGCTAAATTAATAAAAAAAATGTATTGGCAACATGAATTAACAGCAAAAACATTAAAAATAAAAAAATTAAGGTTCTGTTATCCTGTTATGCATCCCCACGCGTTTTGTGCACCCCAATTAGACTACTTTAAAATCATGTGTTTAGATTAAGTTTAAGATATGTTTAAGCCATAGTTTATACATATACATCAAGTAGATAAAATAATATTATAAATCCAAAATGGTTAGGTCAATTGGCAGGAGGATTTATAACAGGATAGTGCCAAAATCAATAGTCTGTTGCTCCACCTGGGCGATTAATTACTTGAAAAATACGATTCTTCATCGAGGCGACAAGGTTTCAAAGTGCAAAAGCGTTCAGTCAGTTCAAAGTCCTGAAACTCAATAGTTTCAAGTTTCAAGTGGTAAAATGGTTATCCCAGGCCATTCGAATCGCCGCTTTCATGTTCAAAAACGTCGGAATATTGTTGGTTCTGCTTGTAGACGTCTCGGACAATGATTTCCCAGAGATTTATGATTCCCCATGGTTTTTGTTTGTTTGTTTGTTTTTGTGGAATCACAAAAAAAGGGAGTGCGGCGCAAGACTTGAAACGACTAGAGAGTGAGACGCAATACTTAGAGAGTGGGATTCTAATGGAGATTGGGCTTTTATTAGAGTTTTTACGGTACCTCAAATAGTCGCCCGATTGCCAAATTCAATGTTCTCCTTTTAGATTTCGATCCTTGTTCCTCAAATCCTTGTCAAAACGGGGCCACATGTCAGGCGAAAACCGAAAAAGGAACCACGATATTTGAGTGTTATTGTGCGAAAGATTTCGGTGGACCAAGCTGTGATCAGAGTGAGTTCAATATGAATTGATATACCGTATTCTCTCTAATAGTAGTGCGCACTACTATTTTTTCAACCGCCTCTCGAACCGCAATACTATTAGAGAGTGCACTACTATTAAAGAGTGCACTACTATTAGAGAGAATACGGTAAATTAAATTTTAAAGTTCAAAAAATATACTTATTAACTAATAAAGTAGTACATAAAAATCTTCAGTACTTTTGAAACTTGAACGTTTAAGAGCCTTGTGCGAAAAACCCTTGTCACAACAATGGAACGTGTCGAACAACGCGAAGTCTCGAGCTGTATTTTTGTGATTGTTTGCCCGGATTTGGAGGAAGAGATTGTGATGTTGGTGCGTACATTTTGAAAGATTAATTGGAAAGATTAATTGGATAATGTTCTTTGTTTAAATCTTTGTTCTTTGTTTTTTTCTCTACCATTTAAACCATTCAGCAATCGGCCAATCTCCGCCGGAAACTTTTGGGAAAAATGTGGACATGGTTTCTTCAGGAAGAGCTGAATGGGTTAATGAAATGAAAGTAGGACATTTTAAAGCTACATTTCATTAGTTTCAATCAAAAATTTTTCAGCTTCGTTTCACACAAAAGAAGAAAAATCCCGATGGGAAATCGGATGGGAAAAATGAAAAAAAAGAGAAAGAAAAGGAAAAGGAAAAGACAAATTCCGATGAACCGTACAAAGGTGGGGGGAAAATAAAAGGATAAAACAAAACAAAAATTTCAGAACCGATCGATAAAATAGGGAATTTGAGTGGAGGAGAAGTGAAGGAAATGACGGAAAAAGAAATGGTTGACAATGAGATGGAAAAGGGACAGAACGAGGTTTGGTGGTGATTAGGAATCCGGCATTTGAAATGAAATAAAATATAAAGTTGATACAGATCATTGTTAACATATTCACAACGATACGACCCACCGGTGTCAACCACCTGGTTGCCATTGGCAATCTAACTTTGAGCTCAAATATCGTTGTGTTGGGTTGTCGAATTGAAATATTCTTGATATCATTAGATGTGCCAAGTCGTTCTCTGTCGATTGGTACAAAAACTATTTCAATTGAACAACCCAACACCAAGATATTTGAGTTCAAAGTCATATTGCCAATGGCAAAGGGGGCGGGGCGCGTATAAAAGGTCCATCGTCCCACCCCTTTTGCCATTGTCAATCTAACTTTCGGCTCAAATATCTCGGTGTTGGGCTGTTCAATTTATAAATTATTGGTATCATTGGATGCGCCAAGTCTTTCTCTTTCGGACCTTTTATACGCGCCCCGCCCCCTTTGCCATTGGCAATCCAACTTTGAGCTCAAATTTCTTGGTGTTGAGCCGTCCAATTGAAATAGTTTTTATACCAATCGACAGAGAAAAACTTGGCGCATCTAATGCTACCAAAAATATTTCAATTGAATAGCCCAACACCAAGATATTTGAGTTAAAAGTTGGATTGCCAATGGCAAAAGGGCCGCGTATCAAATGTCCGATAAGCGTTGCGAATTTGCTAAAAACGCTAAAAGAACACCGCTGACTTTGCTTTGATTTAAAATCGAGCTCTCGTTGATTTTAGAATTCAACGAGAGCTCGATTAACTCAAGTCCTACGGCTTGCTAGAACAATATTTTAAAATGAAATTTAGTGTGTAGCATTTTCGTTTCTATTTATTTCCCATCGATTTCCAGCCTCATCTCTCCGTTTCTTCGAATCAGACCGCTGAAAAAGTCGACAAAAATGTCTCCGAAAATCCCCGTATTCTTTCATATTTTCTCGTCTTTTTCATTGCTAGGCTTCTGTAATTTTCAAATTTCCCTCAAATTTCACTCAAATTCCACCAAATTCCCCTCAAATAATCTCCATTTTTCGCTTTTTCTTTACCCCATCGCCAATACGTGTATTTCTTTGAAACATATTTTTTTGGTTTCTCATTTTTCAATTCTAGGTTCTTCTATTCCAAATGAATAATTGGAGTTAAATTTTTAGTTTTTTCTTTTAAAGTTTTGTTTAGTTCATAACGATTTATCACATTTGAGCAAATTTGTGAGAAAAATGGGCAAAGAGGCAAATTGAAGATAAAAAGAAAAGAGAAGACAAAATAGGGGTTCGCCGAACGTCCAAAAGCCTATCCTTACATGCATTTTCACCAACGAAACTCAGAATTAGTACTGCAACACATTTACGACGATCCGATCCACCGGTGGACCGTACTAATGCTTATTTTGCATATCAACTCTAATTTCGCAAGAAGTCCTCGGTAACTTTGTACTAGTTTTCAAGAGGAGATTCAGGGCTATCGAATGACTAGAATAGTTTCGTTTATCTTTGCATTTACAACAAAATTATCAGTAAAACAGTGACAACTACGCGACTGTACGCCGAAAAAGCTGTCGTCCTGAATGTGTTAATATCTCTTAAAAAATGAGTCTTAAAATCTTAAAGGATGTTGTAGTGGTATGGTATGCAAAATGTGTTATAAGATTCAAAATGGGCGGCATAAGAGTCACAATTACTCAAAAAAAACAGCATTGAGAGAATTCAAATAAAAAACAAAACACGTTTCAACTATGCGCAATAAACCCTTTTTGCCAAAAAAAAACATTATGTACAGAACAACAATGATTAGTTCGATTACCGTAAATACTCTACCCTATAGGAGCGTCGCGTCTAACGCGTCTGGGAAGGCAACTCTATCTCGTCTAACGCGTCTGGGAAGGCAACGCTATCTCGTCTAACAACTGGCAACTTCATTTGTTGTTTTGCAGTTTGTTAGTTTAAAACAATAGGCAATATTATTGTTGAGCTGACTGTTTGATTAAACTGTGATCTCGGAAGATGGTCCATGTCCGAGCACACAAAGAACGCAAGTTTTCACATCTCGAAAAAAGCTATATGCGGACTCGAACCAGATACCTTTGATCTCGAACCAGATATCTTTGATCTCGAACCAGATATCTTTGATCTCGAACCAGATATCTTTGATCTCGAAGACAGACGCTCTACCGCTCGACCACGGCCTACTAGAATCAAGACCGCGCAGAAGGCGCCTAAGTCCCAAAAACTCATATTTTCAAAGTCCTAAAAAAACTAGTCCTAACTTTGGACACTTATAACTCCTGCCAGAATAACGTCCAGCAAAAACGGAAAGCAGATTCGGAGTCAGCATGAAATTCTGCATCAAATGGTACAGTTCGCATGTCATTTGACTGGCTCAGCCAGTTGATCTTCCCTTGTAAGTTTACTCTCAAAAAAGGATCATAGCTCGACACCAATACGCTTCTTTCTCCGCACTTGGGTATCAAATTAAAGTAGAGAAAATGGGTGACTTTTTGAGATATAACACATATTTTTAACTTTAACCAGCGCCTAGAAAAAATGATTGAAAAGTGAAAAAAAAACCGATTTTTCATCATTTTTTCTAGGCGCTGGTTAATGCTAAAAATATGTGTTATATCTCAAAAAAATCACCCATTTTCTCTACTTTAATTTGATACCCAAGTGCGCAGAAAGAAACGTATTGGTGTCGAGATATGAGCGTTTGTTTGAGAGTAAACTTAGACGCAATGCTCCTTTAGGGGGGCGGCTTCTATTAGTATTTACGGTAGTTCTTTTTATTCTCAAGTAGTCGTCGATTAATATCCGAATGTTGTGGTAGTTGTTGCGGTTGTGGTTGATGGAATAAATGTCGTATTCATCATCAATATTGTTGTCATTATTGTTGTTGTTGTATTCAAATTTCCCGATGATTGAATATTGAAAGATTTCGGCGATAATTCGGGATTTTCTTTCAATTTGAGCAAAAGGAACGCGTACGTGATTATCACAGAAATTAACTGAATTTGATTATTGATTTAATGAATTCATAGATTTAATAAAATTACCGTAAAGAAAGTGGTTCTTTGAAGGAGGAAAGCTCTCCAGACGGTCATTCCCCACATGAATTGAGTGGTCATTTTGTGAACGAAACACGAGATCTGCAAAAGTTATCAATGAAAATATTGAAATCTATTAACATATTCACGACGACGACGTACTAATGACACTTATTTTTCATATCGACTCAAGTTTTTAAGGGTTTTGTTATTAATTTCGCAAGAAGTTCTCGATAATTTTGTACTATTAGGTTGAGCAAAAGTCTTTTTCATTTTTTTCGTACTTCTTTTGAAAAATAACAAAGTCATCAATTAACATATGGTTTGCTCTAAATGAAAAGTGTTTATTGTTCAATTTCCCATCTTTTTAAGTCAATTTGGGTTCACTTTCAAGCAAATTCGAGAGTGAAAACGGGTTTTTCATAAAAATCTATAAAAACCTCTATAAAGAAATTGGCTGAATCAATTTCTCTGAAAATCTGAAAAAATATCGAACTTTTTGTGCTCTATCTTTTATTTATTAACATCAAGATTGGTTTCCTTAGCTAAAGCGTCTAAAATGCATCATCGAGCCGTCGCCTTTTTTGACTACCCGAATTCAGGCTCTCAAAAAAATCTAGACATAAGACATTTTAAACTCGTTTTAATGTCATTTTGCAGAAAAATAATTGGCCTTTCGAATGCAATAAACCGTTGTTCAATTGGTGCATTTGTTACTTTTTAACGGAAGTACGAAAAAAATGAAAAAGACTTTTGCATCAACCTAATAGTTTTCTCAAGGCTATCGAATGACTAGAATAGTTTAGTTTCTCTTTGAATTTACAACAAATCAATAAAACAGTTAGCGACTACGCGACTGTACGCCCCAAAAGCCGTCGTCGCGAATGTGTTAATGACACGTTTGTACTTTCCAACAATACTCTACTAGGCTTTTACCTGAAATCGATCCAAATCTGCATTCGCATCGGGCACGATTCGAAGCACATGATCGACGATTTCTCGAGTCTGAAATTTCTTTGGCTGTCAAAGTTTAGTTTTGGTTTTTTCTTGGATTTCTGCATCGAATGGTCTCAGCTTAAAGTTGAGAATCGATTCGAGCCAAGATGCATCTTATAGAATCGGCTATGCTCATTCTGAATCTATAAAAATTAGCTGCAAATACCCAGGCAAACACGAGAAATTTGGCATAGAAAATTTGCTTAAATTTCGGTCTCTTTATGGGGTGCCATAAGGAAAGCTTCCAACAGCTTCGGTGGTCTAGTGGATAGTGCAGCTGTCTACGGAACTTATGAAGTTTGTTGGCTTGAGTTCGAACCCTTCCATAGCCAATTCTTTTTTTAATGCCCTTCCCTTAAAGGGGTATTCCGATTCCCAGCGAAATCCCATTTTTGCTTCGAACCATTATAACTTGTTCTCAGCGACGAGGGCGCGTTACCGGTTTGGCCGAGTCGTTAGTGTTCTTGCCAAAGAGGCCAACCATCGAGGGTTCGAATCCCGCTCGTTTTCATTTGGCTTTTGTTTTTTTGTTTTTGATTAGATTTTTTAAGAAGCGATTAGTTGAGGCCAAGGTCCTTACGAATATGTACAATTATTACCCTTTCATTAACGAAAGCTAACGAAAAAAACTAAGCTTTTGATTAATACTTTCCCATTGTCCTACCTTTTAGCAAACATTAAAAATTTTGATTCGAATTGACTGATAGAATAATTTTCTTTAGACTTTTTAAACAGCCTCTTGATTTGTAGATATAGAACATTGAAATCAAAAAAACTATTTTCCTAAATACCTTTCAAGCACAACTAATAAACTGTCAACTAGAAACTTCTTTCTTCGGAACTCATTTCTTCGGAATTATTACGTGTGCTAGAGAGTGTTAAAAGAAAAAAAAGATGTAAAGAAGGGATAGAAAAGACGAAAAACTTAAGAAAGAAAGATGTGAAAGAAAGAAAAAACTTGTTAAATACCCCAAAACAAAACCGTTAATTAACTTTCAGGTGCTTAGCTGAATATCTTTAACGGTCTTTTGCTGGTTGTTATAGGGATTGCTGCCGTCTTTGCCGAGAAATTGTTGCCGTCGTCTAGACAAAAACTAGGGTAAAATTAATTCTCATATATAATGGTTCCGTCAGATTGCATTTTAGACTCCCAAGCGTATTTTTTGACAGTTTTTCATAGTTTTTCCAGGATTTTTAGTGTTTTCAAGGTTTTTCTTAGCAATTCTTTCTTGGAGATGAAAAGGAGACTGAAACGCGTCGATTGGTATACAAATAGTCGTGGTTCTAGAAAATCACTTTTCGGGCCGGAGTACTCCTTTAAATATTTGTGTCTTTAAATATTTTACAGTTTTACAAGCCAAAACTCACTGTTTCATTCGTTTGCATTCCTGACCAACAGATCATCAAGACATTCAATGAGGCGACGAATACCTGAAATTAAGATTGATTGCTTTGAAAAAAAAATAATAGAAATTTCTCAATGATTATCTTTTTTTTGAAGCTACCTGAATAAAACTCCAGCTCATCGCGAATTTCACTTTTTTCTTGATCAAAATCTGGAAGTCCACGCTTTGATATTCGGGAGCAATTGTGACAAAAATACTGAAAGGAAAAATGATTTTCACGAAATTTCAATAAAAACGAACTCTTCTGATGGTTGGGTGACGAAATAAATGGATAAACAAAGGATAGCCATTGACCAAGCTAAGGAAAAGAATAAATACGGGTTGAAGAGACCACCGATCGCTTCCTGGAAATTACACTTTAATGGGATTACTGGGAATAGGTTTTCTTTTAGCTTTACACAGAAAAGTCTAGGTAACTGGTGCACTTTGCGCTCAAAAATTGTAAACACATCGTTCCTGGTACATAGATCCTTTTGTAGCTGCCTACCGTAATACCTGTAATAGTAGCGCCGGCACTACTATTTTTTCCCACCTCCGCACCTGGGGGGCGCTACGATTAGAGGGGGTGCTACTCATTTTTCTTCCTTAAAATTTTTAAACAGCCCAATCTGGAAGTTTTCAAGATAATTAACCAGAGTTTTTTTCAGCTTTCAATTTCATTTATTCATCTTTAACAAACAACAAAATAACAGTAAAATCAAAAATACGCGTTAAAGAATCAAGTCAAACAACCGTTTTGTCACATGCAAATATGTGCTTGAAAGTGCTCTCTTCGATTTTCTTGTTCACATTCAGGAAATGGTTGACAAGAATTTTCTCAAATTCGCTAGAAAGCTTTTGACATGTTGTGGTCGCCGCTCTCAATGCGAATTGGTGCTGCTTTAGAAACGATTCGATCTAACCGTCTTCTTTTGAAGAGAATCTCTGCATTAGCAAATCGATTAGCCGCTTCGTTCCAGATCATTCGAGTCACTCGCTTTTTTCGCTCCTTTTTCAAGCATCCACATTGCCAAAGCTTCATCAATCTCTTTTGAGGTCAAGCGCGTCCGCCACCATCGAGCCGCTTCCTTTTTCCGTGCATTTTGTTTGGTTCATTTGTTTGTTTGACGTATCGTTAAACACAAACTCGATCACTTTTATAGAATCTGGTAGTGGCATGAACGGAGACTTCGCGAGCCATTTTTGCCGCATCGAGTTTAGGCTTCGCATTTATTGCTTTTTTCTTTCACCTTGGTTTGTCCGTTCCCTCGTTTGCTTTTTGTCCGATTCCTCGTGCAATTCTTCGTTCAATTCATTGGTGTTCTTGGACTTCTTCAAAGAATCTGTTCAGTTCGTGCTCGCTTTGATCGCGAAACGCTTCAAAGTCATCCTAGCTTTCGTGATCGCTCATCGAACCTAAAAAAGTAAAAACTATCAAAGAAAACGAATAAAAAATGCTAGAAAAGCAGTAAAAAGGAAAAGAACTGAATGAAAAGGTTGTAGTTGCAAGCTAGAAAGAAAAAAGCTGAATATCTTGAGATTTCTCATAGGCATTAAGATATTCAGTTAAGTGGCGCTACTATTGGAGGAAGCGCTACCATTACAGGTATTACAGGAACGGCCAAACCGGTAACGCGCCCTGGTCGCTGAGAACAGGAATGATTTCCTGTTGCAGCAAAAGGAAAATCGAATGTGCCAAAAAGGACATGAAAAACAATTTATGTTATTTACAAGAAGATCCCTCAGCGGCTTCTGTGGTCTAGTGGATAGTGCGCTAGCCTACGGAACCTGTGATGTTTCTTTGGCTTGAGTTCAAATTCTCGCCTAGCGAATTCTTTTTGAAAAATGCTACATTTGAGAATCTTTCAAGTACCTGTACATTCGTGATTCGGAGAAATTGCTCATAGTAAAATTTCAGCGAGAAATGCCGCTTCAGGTGCTCTTTATCGAGTGAATGGATCAAGATTCGGCAGTAGAATCTAGAATTGAAAAAAGGTTTTAGAGTAATGAGTTCATTTCAAGTTTATTTAGTATTAAAGCTAATTATAATAGCATTTAAAACTCACCTAACAATTCGATTGTACATGTCATAATACAAAAGTGGTACGATATTCCACAATGAAAGCATCGGAACTAGAAGAAATCGAAAATCGAGAAACGAGCCAAGGCTGAAAATTTGAAATTGATTTATTCGAAGCTGAATTTGCAAGAAGTTTCAGTTGTTATTTAAAGCATTGATTAATTTTTTTAAAGTCAAAGAAAAGTGGAAGAAGTTTTTTGTTTTTTTTTTTATTTCACTGATTTCTCTTTCGGGAAACCCACCAAAATTGCATTTTCGGGTTTTGATGGCTAAAATTTTGTGAATGGGTTTATAATTGTTAGCTTTAAGTTTTAATGTTTTAAAATCTTTTTCCCAAAAACTCACTGAATGAACTCTCCGAATGAAAAGAACTCAACGACGAATAGAATAAGTGGGGTGAAAAAGAAAAAAAAGGAGATGCAAAAGAAAACACAAATATATTGAGCGGTGTTTGGAGTGGTGTGGAATGCGGCACGGAAACAGAGATCCACCTGGAATTGAAAATTGGGGGTAGGCTAGTTTCCGCAATTTTTTTTGCGCAACTAGGTCGTTTGCACAACTCACCATAACTTTCTTCTAAGTGGGCCAATCTTTATGATTTTGGTTTCATTTTGTAGATCTCAATAAGTGCAACAAAATGAAACCAAAATCATAAAGATTGATCCACTTAGAAAAAAAGTTATGGTGAGTTGCGCAGATGACCCTGTTGCGCAAAAAAAAAATTGCGGAAACTAGCCTACCCCGAAAATTGGTCTAAAAATTTGTAACCTGATGGCTTTCCGGAGTGGGAAATTCGAATCTATTATTACTTTTTGTGCAACTTTAACTTTAGAATCAATACGAGCATCTCCAAAAATTTGGGTAATTAAACGAAAATAGAGAAAAAAAATAACGAAGCCATGATCTACAGAGTTGGGCAAAATTATTCGGACAACTTTTTGGAAAGTAGTTGTCGCATGCTTAATTTATTTCAAAGTGTCAAGTGTTATTTAGAGAATTGTAGGCCTTAATCTTGGCTACATTTATCTAATAAAAACTTCGAAATCAGATTTATGCAACTCATTTAACAAGTACTTCAATGAGCACTAGTCGATCCCTATATATTTTTTGCGATATTTCCAAAAATAGAGCAACTTTGCCGCAAATCTAATGACAGATTCGAATTCCTCACACTCGAAAACACCTGGGTATAACTTTTCAGCCCAATCGGCTCATCAAAATGCAAAATATCACGTTTAGTGACCGGTGACCGACATTGTTAAATAAAATCTAGCATTTACGTGTTGGATTTGAATATAATAACATAATATCTGATAATAATAATTACCGTATCAACCGTACTGATGAGACGATAATGTGCCTTGATGTTGATGATGAAAATCAGGATGACAACCGCGTTTATGAGTGGCTTAATGCCGGAAACGATTGAAGAAACCGTCAATGAATGCATCAATCCGAAACGAGACTGAAAATTGGGTAATTGAAAAAGGAAAAAGGAAAAAGGAATTTGATTTTAGCATTTACTTTACTTATAATCTTTTTTTTGTTATTCACCTGATAAAACATCATTTGTTCGATGGTGACTTTACTCAAAAAACAGTTCAACAAAATGACGAGAATCGAGAAGTTGTAGAGGAGGAAATAAATCTAAAAATCAGATTTGAAATTCAGTTTTTCTCAAAACTAACAGCTCTAATGAATCTGCGATCTCGTCGTCGATTACTGTTTTGAAAAATTCCCGGGAAAAAGGCGATCATGCGAAGGAATTGAAGAACGGGACCGATTGAACGACTAAAAATATAGAGCTTTGTAATTTCTTTTTCCCAATATTTACCTAAAACATTTCACATTTCGAAACGGCAACATTGTCGGTCCTTGTGATGGAGATCTAAAAGGTGGGTTTTAAGCAAAAAAACTTGCAACTTACTCAGAACATGCATCAATGAATGGTTCTTCATCTTTCGGCACGCCCAATTCTTCTTTCCATCCATTTGTCAATAGTGACATCTAAAAAGTTTAGTGCATTACTGGGGTTTTTGGCAGTACGCTAAAGTAATATCGATTTTTGAAAGCTTAATAGTTTTCTTGAGTACTGCAAAGCTCCTTACAATATCCCCTCAAAACTGATAGCACTGATGCCATAGCAAGAAAACCGATATCAGTTTGAAAATGAACTATAAAGAGTTTGAATAATGTGGCATGCTAAGGGTTGTTTGGAGCCCATCTTTCAAACCTTTAATAAAAATCTCAAAAGCATCCTAGAATTTGTATAAAGAAATTCTCTGTAGAAAATCATCGCGATTTTCATATAAAAAAGAAATGAAACCGTTTCGCGAAGCTACAGCCAAGATATAGCCCAGAAACTAAGAGACGATAACTTGCGGATGGCAAAAGATGGCAAGCTTCAACATTTCGTAGATCTTATTTAACAAGTTGGCCAAGTGGTTAAGATGCTTAAGAGGCTTAAGATGCCTGGTGTTTTAAAAGCCAGGGTTCGATCCTGATTGAGAAAAATGGAACTTTAGAGTAAAGTATGATGGAAACTCTTATATTAAAGTAAAGAAATGAATGGTAAAGAATTTCAAACCAAGAATTGAACCCTCGACCTTCTGCTTACCGGGCCCGATGCATCGACCCGGTAAGCAGATGCTCTATCACTGAGCTAACGGCGCCTTCTTTGCCCAAGAAGAAATAGAAAAGACAAGGAAGAAAGAGGGAAATGCTCGGGTCTTCATAACTGTGGGCTACTTAAAAATAAATAAGGATATATTATAAGAAAACTTAAAAAAACTTTGAATCCTACCCATAAAAAACTAGGATTGAATGTTTGGATAAACAAAAACAAATAAGGATTTGTTTTCCTTGAAAAAGTCCTAATGAGTGAATGGATCTAATGGAATTAAAGAAAAGAAAAGGGAATGGATATTATTTTGAAGAGGAGGAAAATGGGATGTGAAAAGATATGAATTCTGAGAAAAAAGGAGACGGACTAAAATTGGGGTATTTCAAGGGGGAAAACAAATCAGATCAACTAATAAGCGACTTCCGGAAGACCAAATTTCGAGAAGGATTTGCGGAAAAATTTGTTTTAGTAATTTGAAATACCCCAATTTTAGTCAGTCTCCTTTTTTCTCCGAATTCATATCTTTTCACATCCCATTTTCCTCCTCTTCAAAATAATATCCAGTAAAGTTTTAGTAAAAAAACCCACCTCTACAATGTTTGCCATGAAACTTTTGGGAACAATTGTTTGATGTCTTGAATGATTTCTTTCATCGCCCGCATTCATCGATGCCAATCGATTGAATGGATACATGGAAACTAAAAATGAATATTATTTTGGGTAGAAAAATGAATGTGCTCAAGAAAGCAGTAAAATACTTTAACGGATAAGCAGTAAAATACTTTAACGCCAAAAAAACACTTCCCACACAAATCTCAAAAACCAAGAAAAGCAACAAAGAACTGTTTTTCGATATGAAAAATGTGAAAAATTTGGTTCATCATGTACCGGAATGAAATGAAAAAGGAGATCGAGAAATAAAACAGGTGAAAATGAGAGGGGATTCTGTGAAAAAGTCACATTTTGTGTCTATCACCTGGCGGAATTGATGGGAATATTTTGTGAAAATTAATTGAATGTATAAATGAGGATTTAGCTCAAATGAATGATTGATGAGTCAGTTTTTGTTCCTTTTTGTCATGCATGATGTCTGGACTTGTTTCTAATATGGAATCGAAGCTTGAGCAACATTGTAAACAGGTTTGTAAGCGGAAAATGTAATATCTTTTGATTTTCAAAGCAAAACGACTAGGGCAGCTACGCAGTGCGACGGAAAGGCGGAAAGTTCAATATCTTTTGATTTTCAAAGCAAAACGGATAGGGCAGCTACGCACTGCAACGGAAAAGGCGGAAAGTTCAATATCTTTTGATTTTCAAAGCAAAACGAATAGAGCAGTTACGCACGCGACGGAAAAGGCGGAAAAAATTGTAGCTTTGTAGCTGCTCCATTTGTTGGCTTTTTCTTTGAACATTAAAAGATATTCATTTTTCCGTTTTTTTCTGCCTGTAAGCCTGATTGTAAAGTGTTTTCTATCTTTCGGAAACTACCGTAATCTTGTCTTTAGTTTACCCAATATTTTGGGTTCATAGAGGATACCGAACGATTTAGATAGATTGCATAAAACAAAAAGCAAGATTACGGTAGCTCTAGAAAGTTGACGCGTTTTAGAAATCAGTTTCTCAAGTGGAATTCTAATTGCAATCACACGAAAAATAAATGACTCATGATCAACCAAAATCAATCGCTTGATTGATAAAAAGACCCCAAAGGATCAACCTTTCAAACCTTTCCAACCTTTCCAACCTCTACAAACTAGCCTCACCAATTAAAAAACAAAACAAGAAACAAAACACTCCTTTCCGAATATAAATTTAATCGATTTGGTGAATTTCTTTGCGCAAAAAACTTTTCTCCATTAAGCCAAAGAAAAAGCCAAAATTTGGCGGTAATTTATACATTTCACCAAGAAAAGTTGCAAAAGACAAAACTTAGAATGGAGCAAAAAGTTTCAATTTCCACTTTTAACCCCGGAAATTCTTGACTCGAAGAAAAATTAGTGTTGGGTAAGGCAATTTTGGGGAAAAGTTGGAAGAAAGATGAGTAGGAGGAGGGGAAATGGAGGATAATACGATTAGTGCTGTTTTTATGGGTTTTAGTAGAAAAGCGGGAACGGATAGGGGAGAAAGAAAAAGGAAAGTATGGTAATTATCATTGGAAAGAAAAGGGGATTGTGAGTGAATGGGGAGGGAATTGTTTTTGACCTTCTTTTGAGAGATTGCTTTGTATAGAAAGTTGAGAAATGGTAAACATTATGGTAAACAACGCAGTAGTTCGTCGCAAAATCAGTTATTCTTCTCATCGGACGTGATTCAGAGGTGTTCGCTTGATATGCAACATGTTCGCAAAACTAGAATGAGACCGTGAACGAGAAATCCCATTCTAATTCATTCTCCCTATACTTTGAAGGTTTGGCTTTCAACTTTAAACTTGAATTGCTGACCGAATCTCGTAGTTAATCAACACCTTGGATCATCACTGACACGATGCTCAAAAATTTGGACAAATCGGTAAATGCGGTAAATTGCGGTAAATTTTAACTTGCTAAGCGATCAGTTGATCCAAAAAGTTATCGGATATTTGATCGCCCCGCCCCTTTTGCAATTGGCAATCTAACTTTGTGCTCAAATTTCTTGGTGTTGGGCTGTTCAATTTATAAATTATTGGTATCATTGGATGCGCCAAGTCTTTTTCTGTCGATTGGTATAAAAACTATCTAAATCCGGGAGCCCAACATCAAGAAATTTGAGCTCAAAGTTGAATTGTCAATGGCAAAGGGGGAGGGACGCGTATAAAAGGTTCCACAATTATCCAATAACCAGCCGCACGGAGAAATTGTTTATATATAAATTGTCCATTTATAAATTGTCCTATCCAAAGATATAGCACCCATCGAAATCGCTGAACCGGGGTCGAGCTCTGAGTAGCGACTATGCGACACTCCGTTTGGCCAAACCCGTTTGCCAACTTGCACACAGGCCTCGAATCTGACTTCAGATTCGGCATCAGCATAGTCGAAAGCCCCCGGTTATCGATTTCCAGTCCGAAAAACCCATTCCCTGTTTTTTTTCTAATAGACAAACATTTCACAATTATATAATGCATAGACAACTTCTTTCATTGAAAAACAAAAAAAAGCAAAAGAATACCCCGTGGCCTGGATCCGAACCCACTACCCCCGGATCTGGAGACCGGCGCGCTACCCCCTCGGCCATGCCTGTTCCTCCACGACTCGAAAAATTTTCGTGCGCGGACGGACAGACGGACGGACAGACAGCCCTCAATTATATCTAGTAGATGGCCCTGGTTTTCCAAATTCACTGCTACAGTCAAGAAAGATGAAAAGATGAAGTTGGGGAAGGGGTTAGAGAGCAAATTTTTATGTAAAAATGTTAATATCGTTGCGAGCTACGACTTTTATCTAAAGATGAAGGTTGAAATATATCAATCAAATATATATACAAGAAATATCGACACTTTTGACTATTTTGCACGCCATGCCAAATTTGCATTTAAAAAGCCTCTCACTAAATGCTCAATTTCGTTGATACCGGGTTAGTGCATAAAAAGCGAATTGCTAGAATCAGTAAATTTTAGGTTTTGCATAGCTTGGATACTTTTACTGCCAAAACCACGAGTCCTCTTCTTTCAATATGTAAAATGGTGTGTAAAATAGTTAAAAGTATTGAAATATAAGTAGAAATGCTCAGCTCAAAATTCTCAATGAAAAAGACAAGAATGTTATTTCCGAAAATGCGGAGATCCCCCAAAATATCCATTCAAGAAACATAGAAAAACTCTTGAAAAGTGAATTGTTTAAAAATAAAAATAAATACAGATTCGATGCACAAACAAATATTTGAGAAAAGATTGCAAGAAGATTGCAAAAATAAAATTGGAAAGGAGCACTTGGAGCAAAAGAGATATATGAATGTTTTTTGGGGGGGGGGGAATTGGTTCTGAAAAACGTTCATAATTTGAGAATGAAAAAAGTCTGATGAGTAATAAAGAAATAAGCTTTAAAAATCAAAGATAAATTGAAAAAATTGAACAAAAATGAAACTAAAGTTTACTTTTCAAAGCAGAGTTACTGAAAAATTGATGTTGAATGAACGAGGAGCGAAAATTGCAATAGGAAAATCGAGAAATGAAAAAGAAATGAAGTTCTACTATTGAAGAAAAAAAAAGAACAAAAATAACATCTTCATTGTTTATAGGTGTTCTAAAGAATGAGAATTGAAATTTTTAAAAAATGGATTGTTGAAGGATTTGCAAATTAGACGAGGTCATTTAGAGGGAAAGGGGAAGTGAAACCGACGCTGTTCGGGGAAAGAGAAGGGAAATTCGAGGATGTTCAAGGGTTTTCTTCAAAAAAGAAACAGAGAAATGTATCAAATCCAAAAATTTTCTCTTTTTTCACCACAAATGAATGAATATTCCCAGTGAGATCATTTTTTTGTCGGTAAATATTTAACCGCCCCCAAATAGAGCGCAGGTTAGAAAATAGAGAAAATGTACCTGAAATTTGACAAATTCAATAAGAAAACTACCGTAAATACTCTAATAGAAGCCAGTGGTAAGCGAAGAAAGATCATATAAAAACGTTGAAAGCTTGAATCGATTAAATAATGGGCACCGCTTCCGGAGACATACCTAAGATTTTCCTACAGAAAAAAAGCAGAACGATTGACCAAATTTTGGTCAATCTATTGGGTTGGTGGAAAAGTCCTTTCGAATTTTTTGGGAGAGTACCTTAAATTTGTCCAATTTTGACGTTTTATAGCTCATCCTAAAGCTGAATTCAAGACGGATCGATTGGTCAAAAACCGTTTTGAGATATCTCTTTTCTAAAAGTTTTTACAGCTATTTTAGTAAAGGGCGGCAGAGCCAAAAAATGGCTGTTTTCACGTTTCGTTAGTTTTCCGTGCAGAAACCTACCGTAAATACTGTAATAGTACCCCACCCCCATAATGACGGTGCGGAGTGTTGCGTAGTCTAGCTTTGAACGAGTTTTTCTCGACACTGGTTTATGCTACAATGCGCGCTTAGGTATCAAAAAATAGCCCTGAATTTCAGCTATTTTTTGATACCAAAGACACATTTTTTGAAAGTACGAGCGCTTTGGAAAAAATGAAATACTAAAAAACTTTTGCGACTACGCGACTGTACGAGGGAGTGGGGTACTATTACAGTATTTATGGTAGGCTAAAAACATGTGTTTCGTGATCAGGGTCAAATAGATCAAAAAGGTCAATAGATCCTCTGAAGTGCACCGTTATAATTCTGGGCACCATTAATTGAATTTAAAATTTTGGTTCCCGACCAAAACTCGGTTGAACAACAAAGTCTCGATGTGCAGTGTATGAGAGAATACCGATGGGGGCAATGATTATTAGATATTTATTCCGAATCTAGCACAATACTAATCTAGCGAGAAAATATAAAAGAACAAGAATCAATCGTTGGTTCAGTGTTTCATAGCAATACGAAAAAGCAATATGAATACAAAAGACAATACAAAAAGCAATATAAAGTGGGCTCCGTCCCACTTTATATTGCTTTATCTTAAAAGCGATCTTTTAGAGGCGGGACAAGAGAATCAGATATTCAAATCAAAACATTAAATATGATTTCACAGAAAAGAGCCACTTTTCTGCACAGGTACCAAAATGAGACTAATCAGATGCCATTTGAC